GTCACACCTAAACACATACCAGTTAATGATATCATTACCCAAGGAGACGTTGCTCTCAGGGGCCTGGATCACATCGCTGCAGACGTAGCAAGATCTGAAATCGCTGCAACCCTCAAAAACGCTAAGATGCCAGCTAGCAACCTCAGCAAAGATGAGCGTTTTGAATTATATAAATTAAAAGAGAGGGATGACATTGTAGTCCTCTCAGCTGACAAGGGCAATGCTACTGTCATCATGGATAAAATAGAATATAACAACAAAATTAAATAATTACTCGACGATGGTAGATATACAAAAATAAAAAGAGATCCCACCAACAGCCTCGTCACACAAGCCAACGAAATAATTTCTGATTCAACCGCATTAATTGATCAATCTAAACAGTTTTCGTTGAAACCTTCTGCTGCCAGGCCACCAAGATTATACGGCTTACCAAAAATACATAACGTAGATACACCCCTTCGTCTTATCGTCTCTACTATCAACTCCACCACCTACAACTGGCTCGTTTTCTATCTTTAATCCTGCGGCCTTTCACCAGAAAACAACACCTCTGCAGTACAAAATTCTACTCACCTGGTATCGACAATCAAGGGTATTTCCCTGTCCCCAGATGACCTGCTTGTCAGTTTTGATGTAGTTTCCTTATTCACCAAAGTTCCTGTACCTGACACCATTGCAATCATTGAAGACTTGGTTCATCAAGGATTAAACACTGAGGTACCCCCCCTGGTGAGACACTGTTTAACCAATACATACTTCACTTGGAATGGAACTTTCTACAAACAAACTGAGGGCACCCCAGTGGGCTCCCCCCTATCTCCGGTTGTAGCCAACATTTTCATGGAGAAATTTGAGACTGACGCCATCCAGACTGCCACTCTGCGCCCAACCTTATGGAAGAGGTACATGGATGACACTTTTGTCATCTGGCCACATGGCCGGCCTGCTCTAGACCAATTCCTCGACCACATCAATCCCATACACCCAGCCATCAGATTTACCATGGAAGTCGAAATAGATGGCAAGATACATTTTTTGGATGTCCTAATAAAAAAGAGACCTGATGGTTCAATGAGCCACTCTGTCTACAGGAAAGCTACCCATACGGATGCTTACCTGAAACCGGATTCCCACCACCATCCATCCCAGAAGAATTCCCTCATCAAGACTCTGCACCATAGAGCCCAATGCATATCAGACCAGGAACACATAGCCAGTGAACTCAATCACGTACACCAAGCTCTTAAGGCTAATGGTTACTCCGACTACACAATCCGCAAAGCTATCACTCCAACCATGAAGAAGGACCCTCTTGAGGAGCCTTTCAAAACCATCACTTTACCCTACATTGCTGGGATCACAAAAAAGATCTCCAAAATCTTGAATAAACACAAGATCCAGGTCCGTTTCAACACATTACATAAAATCCGTGATCTGGTTCCGTCTGTAAAAGATGTGATTCCGGACATACAGTACCCTGGTGTCTACAAACTAAGTTGCCTCTGTGGTAGTAGTTACATTGGAGAAACCAAACGCCATGTCTCGGACCGCATTCGTGAACACAAAGCAGACCTAAAACACGGTAGGTCCAACACCTCGGCCGTGGCAGATCATTGTTATAATTCAGTAGGCTCACATGCCATTGACTTCTCCAAGACAGAGGTTCTTTGCAAGCCATCTGGCTACCATGAGAGATTCGTTCATGAGGCTATCTACATATATAAGCACAGAGACAATTTCAACCGAGAAGATGGATTCTGGCTTAGCAATCATTGGAAGGATTTGATAAACCATCTCGGGTCTTAATTTGATTGTTCACGCTTACGGTGGCTTTCAGACCGTGTCCATTATTTTTCGTCTCCCCCCTCCTCTTTTCCGAACACAGATGGACTCGTCCATCTGAACAAAATGTCAAATCGCTCTCCGTGGTGCTAATGTTAAAAAGAAACGCCACTTTTTTCAAATTTTCTTGCTGTGGTTTTCACACCTGATGACGATTGCTTCTTTGTGTTGCAGTCGAAACGTCGTGAGAATTGTATTGTTTTCATATTTGTATTATTTTATTGTTTCCCTTCTATGTGGTGACTTTACCGATAGAACCAAGAATAATAATTTTATTGTTTTACAGTAATTTTATTGTTTTATATTTTTATTATTTTATTGTTTCCCTTCTACGTGGTGACTTTACAGAAAGAACCAAGAATAATAATTTTATTGTTTTACAATAATTTTATTGTTTTATATATTTTTATTATTTTATTGTTTCCCTTCTACGTGGTGGTGACTTTACCGAAAGAACCAAGAATAATAAATGTATTGTTTTACAATAATTTTATCGTTTTATATTTTTATTATTTTATTGTTTCCCTTCTACGTGGTGGTGACTTTACCGAAAGAACCAAGAATAATAATTTTATTGTTTTACAATAATTTTATTGTTTTATATTTTCATTGTTTTATTGTTTCCCTTCTACGTGGTGGTGACTTTACCGAAAGAACCAAGAATAATAATTTTATTGTTTTACAATAATTTTATTGTTTTATATATTTTTATTATTTTATTGTTTCCCTTCTACGTGGTGGTGACTTTACCGAAAGAACCAACACTATAAGTAGAACGTGTTGTCTATATTTAGTCAAAGTTGCGCATTTTGACGTGACGTCACACTTCTCAAACCCCCGCCCCCCTCGTCACACGTCGTCACAAATGTCTGACCCCACCCCCCCCCCCCCCAGGTGCGTGACGTCATTTATGGACGGACCCTAAGGCGCTTTGATTAATTATTTTAAGAAAAGACGAAATAACTTTATAGCTCATTGCATGCCTCCTGCTGCTGTCTAAACAGTGAACCATTCTGAGACATCCATAACCGAGGCGTTTTGTGTGAAGTCGCTAAAATATATAAATGTGTCGTGAAACCCGCCACCACCCGACAGCAGAGAGAGAGGTGGGCGTTGCTCTGTCTGAGTGGGCGGGACTAACGGCTCAATGGGCGTGACTAACGTCTCAATGGGCGTGGCTAACGTCTCAATGGGCGGGACTAACGTCTCAATGGGCGGGACTAACGTCTCAATGGGAGGGACTAACGGCTCAATGGGCGGGACTAACGTCTCAATGGGCGGGACTAACGTCTCAATGGGCGTGACTAACGTCTCAATGGGCGTGACCTCCTGGGGGATCATTAACATATCCGTATTTATATTCTTGGTTCTTTCGGTAAAGTCACGTAGAAGGGAAACAATAAAAAATATTTTTGCTGTTTTCACACCTGATGATGATTGCTTGTGTTGCAGTCGAAACGTCGTGAGAATTTTATTGTTTTACGTTTTGATAATGTTTTATTATTTTATTGTTTCCCTTCTACGTGGTGGTGACTTTACCGAAAGAACCAAGAATAATAATTTTATTGTTTTACAATAATTTTATTGTTTTAAATATTTTTATTATTTTATTGTTTCCCTTCTACGTGGTCCGAAAGGACCAACTATATGAATTCCTGCTGTCACGAAAGCTTTAAATCAAAATATCCATAATTGTTTCGCGTCACCCACCCGGATCATAATCATATATGAGGGCGTGGTCCACTGGGATGCATTAACATATATGGGGGTGTGGTCCACTGGGATGCATTAACATATATGGGGGGCGTGGCCCACTGGGAGCATTAACATATATGGGGGTGTGGCCCACGGGGAGCATTAACATATATGGGGGTGTGGCCCACGGGGAGCATTAACATATATGGGGGGGGCGTGACCCACGGGGAGCATTAACATATATGGGGGTGTGGCCGACTGGGTGCATTAACATATATGGGGGTGTGGCCCACGGGGTGCATTAACATATATGGGGGGCGTGGCCCACGGGGAGCATTAACATATATGGGGGTGTGGCCCACTGGGCGCATTAACATATATGGGGGGTTGTGGCCCACGGGGAACATTAACATATATGGGGGGGCGTGGCCCACTGGGAGCATTAACATATATGGGAGGGTGTAGCCCACGGGGAGCATTAACATATATGGGGGTGTGGCCCACTGGGTGCATTAACATATATGGGGGGCGTGGCCCACGGGGAGCATTAACATATATGGGGGTGTAGCCCACTGGGTGCATTAACATATATGGGGGGGTGTGGCCCAAGGGGAGCATTAACATATATGGGGGGCGTGGCCCACGGGGTGCATTAACATATATGGGGGTGTGGCCCACTGGGCGCATTAACATATATGGGGGGTTGTGGCCCACGGGGAACATTAACATATATGGGGGGGCGTGGCCCACTGGGTGCATTAACATATATGGGAGGGTGTAGCCCACGGGGAGCATTAACATATATGGGGGTGTGGCCCACTGGGTGCATTAACATATATGGGGGGCGTGGCCCACGGGGAGCATTAACATATATGGGGGTGTAGCCCACTGGGTGCATTAACATATATGGGGGGGTGTGGCCCAAGGGGAGCATTAACATATATGGGGGGGCGTGGCCCACGGGGAACCTTAACATATATGGGGGGGGGGGGGGCGTGGCCCACGGGGAACATTAACATATATGGGGGGGTGTGGCCCACGGGGAGCATTAACATATATGGGGGGGCGTGGCCCACGGGGATCATTAACATATTTGGGGGCGTGGTCCACAGGTCTCATTAACATATATGGGAGCGTGATTCCTGGGGAGGCGAGAGGGGGGTAAGGGGGGGGAGGTTGAAACGTTTCCGAAACCAGAAATTCGCATTTCCTCATCGCTGTCATGGAAACGGAAGTGACGTCACGGCGCGGCGAGAGTTTTGCGGGGGGTGAGGCCCCGGGGGGCCGGGGAGGGGGGGAAGGAAGGGCAGGGGGGGGGGGAACGAGGGGAGGGGCTGTGGGGGGTGGGGGGGGGCTAGTCGGCGCATGCGCAGTGCTCGCCACCCCCACGTGTGACGCAGTGGGAGTTTTGAAGGTGCCGTTGAGTTAAGAGACGTGAGGTTCTTTGGGGTGAGGTGAGCATCGAGTTGCAGGGGGTGAGGTGAGAGGGGTGAGGTGAGGGGGGGTGAGGTGAAGGGTGAGGCGAGGCGGCCTCTTGAGTTCGCTCCGCGGCGCGTGGAGTCGGCCACAGGGAGACGAGGAGGAGGTGAGAGGATGGGTGTGAGGATGGGTGTGAGTGTGTTGTTGATATGTTGGGATGGGGAGCGGTGAGTGAGTGGGTGGGGTGGAGAGCGACTGGGTGAGTGAGTGAGTGGGTGAGTGGGTGAGGAGTGAGTGGGTGAGTGAGTGGGTGAGGAGTGAGTGAGTGGGTGGGTGAGGAGTGAGTGAGTGGGTGGGTGAGGAGTGAGTGGGTGGGTGAGTGAGTGAGTGGGTGAGGAGTGAGTGGGTGAGTGAGTGGGTGAGGAGTGAGTGGGTGGGTGAGTGGGTGGGTGAGGAGTGTGTGAGTGGGTGGGTGAGGAGTGAGTGGGTGGGTGAGTGGGTGAGTGAGTGGGTGGGTGTGTGAGTGGGTGAGTGAGTGGGTGAGGAGTGAGTGGGTGAGTGAGTGAGTGGGTGAGGAGTGAGTGAGTGGGTGAGGAGTGAGTGAGTGGGTGGGTGAGTGTGTGAGTGGGTGGGTGAGTGTGTGAGTGGGTGGGTGGGTGAGTGTGTGAGTGCGTGGTTGAGTGAGTTGGTGAGTGAGTTGGTGAGTGAGGTGAGTTGGTGAGTGGGTGAGTGTGTGGGTGAGTGAGTTGGTGAGTGGGTGAGTTGGTGAGTGGGTGAGTGAGTTGGTGAGTGAGGTGAGTGAGTTGGTGAGTGAGGTGAGTTGGTGAGTGGGTGAGTGTGTGGGTGAGTGAGTTGGTGAGTGGGTGAGTTGGTGAGTGGGTGAGTGAGTTGGTGAGTGAGGTGAGTGAGTTGGTGAGTGAGGTGAGTTGGTGAGTGGGTGAGTGTGTGGGTGAGTGAGTTGGTGAGTGGGTGAGTTGGTGAGTGGGTGAGTGAGTTGGTGAGTGAGGTGGTGAGTGTGTGGGTGAGTGAGGTGAGTGTCTGTGTGGTGTGTGCATAGACACTGCTACTCGCTACTCACAGCACTTGCCCCTACAGCTTGATAGAGGCTACCTGGGGTAGCTTTGTCTGTGTGGTGTGTGTAGTACGTAGACACTGCTTCTCGCTACGACTAACAGCACTTGCCCCTGCAGCCCTGCTAGAGGCTACCTGGGGGATCGTTGTGTGTGTAACAGCACTTGCCCCTACAGCCCTGCTAGAGGCTACCTGGGGGACCTTTGTCTGTGTAACACCACTTGCCCCTACAGCCCTGCTAGAGGCTACCTGGGGCAGCTTTACCTTTGGAGTAAATATTGACACTGGTGGAGAGACAAAGGCGGCCGGGCGCTGCTGCGACTCGCTGCACTTGCCCCTGTAGCTCGGTAGAGGCTACCCGGGGCAGCTTTGCCTGCTGTGTGCTGAGGGAGGGAGGGGAGAAGGGGTGAGGGAGGGGGCGGGGCGTAGAGGGGAGGGGGCGGGGCGTAGGGGGACGGGGATCTGTGGGTGGGGGCTGCCGTTGCCGGGGGCAACCGCCCGTTACGTAACAGAATTTTTTTTTTAAAAAATTTACTTAACGGAATTTGTCATTTATAAATAAATAATAATGAAGGCGACGAATTAGTCTGAGCATTCGATAATGCAACGGTGTTTTTTTAAAAATATATATCTGCACGTGTCGATTATCGATTATTAAAAAAAATGTCAATTTAAAAAAATATATATAACGGTCGCGCATGCGCAGTGCGGTTTGTTTACAACGGGGTGACGTGACGTAGAGGGGGGGAGTCACGTGACCCGGGCGCCGCGCGCGTTTTCTTGGGTTCTCGTCAGAATTTAACATTGCAACCCTATGGGAGACTTAGGGGGCCGTCCATAAATGACGTCACGCGATTTTTGACCCCCACTCCTCGTCACGTGACGTCACAAAAAGTCAGACCCCCTCCTCGACTATGACGTCACAAAGCTCCCAAAAAAAATAAATGGCTTTAAACTATTGTCATTGTAAAATTTTGATTTAAAGCTTTCGTGACTGCAGTAATTCATATTCTTAGTTATTTCGGTAAAGTCACGTTGAAGGGAAACAACAAAATAATAACATGTATATAAAATATATATTATTGTTTTATATATATTTTATTATTTAGTTGTTTCCCTTCAACGTGACTTTACCAAAAGAACTAAGTATATTGTCATTGTAGTTGCGTATTTAATGTAGGCGCCGCACACTCTGATGTTGTAGGTGGAACACATTTATTAACAAAGTCTGTTTAATTACGTGTTGTCTATGTTTATTCATGAAGTAGCGATTTTTGATGTGACGTCACGTTTCTCAAACCCCTCCCTCCCCTCGTCACGCATCGTCACTGATGTCTGACCCCTCCCCCTAGGTGCGTGACGTCATTTATTGACGCCCCCTTAGACACTAACACTGAACCCTATGGGAGACTTAGACACTAACACTGAACCCTACTTAGACACTAACACTGAACCCTATGGGAGACTTAGACACTAACACTGAACCCTACTTAGACACTAACACTGAACCCTACTTAGACACTAACACTGACCCCTACTTAGACACTAACACTGAACCCTACTTAGACACTAACACTGAACCCTACTTAGACACTAACACTGAACCCTACTTAGACACTAACACTGAACCCTATGGGAGTCTTCGACACTAACACTGAACCCTATGGGAGACTTAGACACTAACACTGAACCCTACTTAGACACTAACACTGAACCCTACTTAGACACTAACACTGAACCCTATGGGAGTCTTAGACACTAACACTGAACCCTACTTAGACACTAACACTGAACCCTACTTAGACACTAACACTGAACCCTACTTAGACACTAACACTGAACCCTACTTAGACACTAACACTGAACCCTACTTAGACACTAACACTGAACCCTACTTAGACACTAACACTGAACCCTACTTAGACACTAACACTGAACCCTACTTAGACACTAACACTGAACCCTATGGGAGACTTAGACACTAACACTGAACCCTACTTAGACACTAACACTGAACCCTATGTGAGACTTAGACACTAACACTGAACCCTACTTAGACACTAACACTGAACCCTATGGGAGACTTAGACACTAACACTGAACCCTACTTAGACACTAACACTGAACCCTACTTAGACACTAACACTGAACCCTACTTAGACACTAACACTAAACCCTACTTAGACACTAACACTGAACCCTATGGGAGACTTAGACACTAACACTGAACCCTACTTAGACACTAACACTGAACCCTATGGGAGACGTAGACACTAGCACTGAACCCTACTTAGACACTAACACTGAACCCTACTTAGACACTAACACTGAACCCTACTTAGACACTAACACTGAACACTACTTAGACACTAACACTGAACCCTACTTAGACACTAACACTGAACCCTATGGGAGTCTTAGACACTAACACTGAACCCTACTTAGACACTAACACTGAACCCTACTTAGACACTAACACTGAACCCTACTTAGACACTAACACTGAACCCTACTTAGACACTAACACTGAACCCTACTTAGACACTAACACTGAACCCTATGGGAGTCTTAGACACTAACACTGAACCCTACTTAGACAATAACACTGAACCCTACTTAGACACTAACACTGAACCCTACTTAGACACTAACACTGAACCCTACTTAGACACTAACACTGAACCCTACTTAGACACTAACACTGAACCCTACTTAGACACTAACACTGAACCCTATGGGAGACTTAGACACTAACACTGAACCCTATGGGAGTCTTAGACACTAACACTGAACCCTACTTAGACACTAACACTGAACCCTATGGGAGACTTAGACACTAACACTGAACCCTACTTAGACACTAACACTGAACCCTATGGGAGACTTAGACACTAACACTGAACCCTACTTAGACACTAACACTGAACCCTACTTAGACACTAACACTGAACCCTATGGGAGACTTAGACACTAACACTGAACCCTATGGGAGACTTAGACAATAACACTGAACCCTACTTAGACACTAACACTGAACCCTATGGGAGACTTAGACACTAACACTGAACCCTACTTAGACACTAACACTGAACCCTACTTAGACACTAACACTGAACCCTACTTAGACACTAACACTGAACCCTACTTAGACACTAACACTGAACCCTACTTAGACACTAACACTGAACCCTACTTAGACACTAACACTGAACCCTACTTAGACACTAACACTGAACCCTACTTAGACACTAACACTGAACCCTACTTAGACACTAACACTGAACCCTACTTAGACACTAACACTGAACCCTACTTAGACACTAACACTGAACCCTACTTAGACACTAACACTGAACCCTACTTAGACACTAACACTGAACACTACTTAGACACTAACACTGAACCCTACTTAGACACTAACACTGAACCCTACTTAGACACTAACACTGAACCCTACTTAGACACTAACACTGAACCCTACTTAGACACTAACACTGAACCCTATGGGAGTCTTAGACACTAACACTGAACCCTACTTAGACAATAACACTGAACCCTACTTAGACACTAACACTGAACCCTACTTAGACACTAACACTGAACCCTACTTAGACACTAACACTGAACCCTATGGGAGACTTAGACACTAACACTGAACCCTACTTAGACACTAACACTGAACCCTATGGGAGTCTTAGACACTAACACTGAACCCTACTTAGACACTAACACTGAACCCTACTTAGACACTAACACTGAACCCTACTTAGACACTAACACTGAACCCTACTTAGACACTAACACTGAACCCTACTTAGACACTAACACTGAACCCTACTTAGACACTAACCACTGAACCCTACTTAGACACTAACACTGAACCCTATGGAGACTTAGACACTAACACTGAACCCTATGGAGACTTAGACAATAACACTGAACCCTACTTAGACACTAACACTGACCCTATGGGAACCCTACTTAGACACTAACACAGAACCCTACTTAGACACTAACACTGAACCCTACTTAGACACTAACACTGAACCCTACTTAGACACTAACACTGAACCCTACTTAGACACTAACACTGAACCCTACTTAGACACTAACACCGAACCCTACTTAGACACTAACACCGAACCCTACTTAGACACTAACACTGAACCCTATGGGAGACTTAGATACTAACACTGAACCCTACTTAGACACTAACACTGAACCCTATGGGAGACTCAGACACTAACACTGAACCCTACTTAGACACTAACACTGAACCCTACTTAGACACTAACACTGAACCCTATGGGAGACTTAGACACTAACACTGTACCCTATGGGAGTCTTAGACATTAACATTGAACCCTACTTAGACACTAACACTGAACCCTACTTAGACACTAACACTGAACCCTATGGGAGACTTAGACACTAACACTGAACCCTACTTAGACACTAACACTGAACCCTACTTAGCCACTAACACTGATCCCTATGGGAGTCTTAGACATTAACACTGAACCCTATGGGAGTCTTAGACATTAACACTGTACCCTATTGGAGTTAGCCCCAGTGATCTACACTGTACCCTATGGGAGCCCCAGTGATTAACACTGTACCCTATGGGAGTTAGTTCCAGTGATTAACACTGAAACTTATGGGAGTCTTAGACATTAACACTGAACCCTATGGGAGACTTAGACATTAACACTGTACCCTATGGGAGCCCCAGTGATTAACACTGAAACCTAAGGGAGCCCCAGTGATTAACACTGAATCCTATGGCAGTTAGCCCCAGTGATTAACCCTGAACCCTATGGGAGTTAGCCCCAGTGATTAACACTGAACCCTATGGGAGTTAGCCCCAGTGATTAACACAGAACCCTATGGGAGTTATCCCCAGTGATTTACACAGAACTCTATGGGAGTTAGCCCCAGTGATTACCACTAAACCCTATGGGAGTTAGCCCCTGTGATTAACACTGAACCCTATGGGAGTTAGCCCCAGTCATTAACCCAGAACCCTATGGGAGTTAGCCCCAGTGATTAACACCGAACCCTATTGGAGTTAGCCCCAGTGATTAACACAGAAACCTATGGGAGTTAGCCCCAGTGATTAACCCTGAACCCTATGGGAGTTAGCCCCAGTGATTTACACTGAACCCTATGGGAGTTAGCCCCAGTGATTAACACAGAACCCTATGGGAGTTATCCCCAGTGATTTACACTGGACCCTATGGGAGTTAGCCCCAGTGATTAACACAGAATCCTATAGGAGTTAGCCCCAGTGATTATCACAAAACCCTATGGGAGTTAGCCCCAGTGATTAACACAGAACCCTATTGGAGTTAGCCCCAGTGATTAACACAGAACCCTATGGGAGTTATCCCCAGTGATTTACACAGAACCCTATGGGAGTTAGCCCCAGTGATTACCACTGAACCCTATGGGAGTTAGCCCCAGTCATTAACCCAGAACCCTATGGGAGTTAGCCCCAGTGATTAACACAGAACCCTATTGGAGATAGCCCCAGTGATTAACACAGAACCCTATGGGAGTTAGCCCCAGTGATTAACACAGAACCCTATGGGAGTTATCCCCAGTGATTTACACAGGACCCTATGGGAGTTAGCCCCAGTGATTAACACAGAACCCTATGGGAGTTAGCCCCAGTGATTTACACAGAACCCTATGGGAGTTAGCCCCAGTGATTAACACAGAACCCTATTGGAGTTAGCCCCAGTGATTAACACAGAACCCTATGGGAGTTAGCCCCAGTGATTAACACAGAACCCTATGGGAGTTATCCCCAGTGATTTACACAGAACCCTATGGGAGTTAGCCCCAGTGATTACCACTGACCCCTATGGGAGTTAGCCCCAGTGATTAACACAGAACCCTATTGGAGTTAGCCCCAGTGATTAACACAGAACCCTATGGGAGTTAGCCCCAGTGATTAACACTGCACCCTATGGGAGTCTGAGCCACACAGTGCATCTCCGTGTCACTCATCTATTGCTACTACTCCTGTGGTTCCTCTCCCCATGCCGGATGCTTCGCAGGAATGAGTGGAAACGGAAGCTGAGTAAAGGAGATGGGAAGATGGAAAATGCAGAGACACGGTAAGACACGGGGAGACACACGGGGAGACACGGGGAGACGCACGGGGAGACACACGGGGAGACACGGGGAGACACACGGGGAGACGCACGGGGAGACACACGGGGAGACACGGGGAGACGCACGGGGAGACACACGGGGAGACACGGGGAGACACACGGGGAGACACGGGGAGACACACGGGGAGACACACGGGGAGACGCAGGGAGGAGGAGGAGACACGAGGAGGAGGAGGAGGAGACACAAGGAGGAGGAGGGAGATGCGGGGAGGAGAGAGACACGGGGAGGAGGAGGAGACACGAGGAGGAGGGAGATGCGGGGAGGAGGAGGAGACACGAGGAGGAGGAGGGAGACACGGGGAGGAGGAGGAGGGAGACACGGGGAGGAGGAGGAGAGAGACACGAGGAGGAGGAGGAGAGAGAGACACGGGGAGGAGGAGGAGGAGGAGGAGGAGGGAGACACGGGGAGGAGGAGGAGGAGACACGAGGAGGAGGAGAGAGAGACACGGGGAGGAGGAGGAGGGAGACACGAGGAGGAGAGAGACACGGGGAGGAGGAGAGAGACACGGGGAGGAGGAGGAGGAGGAGAGAGCTGTATTTTGTTGTCTTGCAGCTCCGAGTCCCTGGGATCAGAAACGCAGAGAACCACACAGCAGATGCAACCATGAAGACCGGGTGAGACCCCCTCTATTCCTCGTGTCTCACTCCTCCTCCACCCCGTGTCTCTCTCCTCCTCCTCCTCCACCCCGTGTCTCTCTCCTCCTCCTCCCCGTGTCTCTCTCCTCCTCCTCCACCCCGTGTCTCTCTCCTCCCCGTGTCTCTCTCCTCCTCGTGTCTCTCTCCTCCTCCTCCCCGTGTCTCTCTCCTCCTCCCCGTGTCTCTCTCCTTCTTCCCGCGTCCCCTCCCGGTGCCTCCTTTCGTGTACGTTTATCCTCACCCACCACGTGTCTCTCTCCCCCCCATGTCTCTCTTTCTCTCCGTCTCTCTCTCACCATGTCTCTCTGTCTCTCTCACCATGTCTATCTGTCTCTCTCACCATGTCTGTCTCTCACCACGTATCTCTGTGTCTCTCTCTCACCGTGTCTCTCTGTCTCTCTCACCATGTCTCTCTCTCACCGTGTCTCTCTGTCTCTCTCTCTCTGTCTCTCTGTGTCTCTCTCTCACCACGTCTCTCTGTCTCTCTGTGTCTCTCTGCCTCTCTCTCTGTGTCTCTCTCTCACGGTGTCTCTCTGTCTCTCTCTCTCTGTGTCTCTCATGGTGTCTCTCTGTCTCTCTCTCTGTGTCTCTCACAGTGTCTCTCTCTCTCTCTCTGTGTCTCTCTTTCAACACGTCTCTCTGTCTCTCTCTCTGTGTCTCTCTGTCTCTCTCTCTCACCGTGTCTCTCTTGTTCTCTCTCTCACCATGTCTCTCTGTCTCTCACCATGTCTCTCTCTCACCATGTCTCTCTCACCATGTCTCTCTCACCACATCTCTCTGTGTCTCTCTCTCACCATGTCTCTCTCTCACCACGTCTCTCTCTCTCTGTCTCTGTCTCTCTCTGTGTCTCTCTCTCTCACCATGTCTCTCTCACCATGTCTCTCTCACCACGTCTCACTGTGTCTCTCTCACCATGTCTCTCTCTCACCACGTCTCTCTCTCTGTGTCTCTGTCTCTCTCTGTGTCTCTCTCTCACCATGTCTCTCTCACCATGTCTCTCTCACCACGTCTCTCTGTGTCTCTCTCACCATGTCTCTCTCTCACCATGTCTCTCTGTCTCTCTCTCACCATGTCTCTCTCTCACCATGTCTATCTGTCTCTCTCTCACCATGTCTCTCTTTCACCATGTCTCTCTCTCACCACGTCTCTCTGTCTCTCTCTCTGTGTCTCTTTCTGTGTCTCTCTGTCTCTCTCTCTGTTTCTCTCTCTCACCACGTCTCTGTGTCTCTCTCTCTGTCTCTCTGTGTCTCTCGCCACGTCTCTCTGTGTCTCTCTCTCTGTGTCTCTCTCTCACCATGTCTCTCTCTCTCACCACGTCTCTCTTTCTCCGTGTCTCTCTCTCACCATGTCTTTCTCTCACCACGTCTCTGTGTCTCTCTGTGTCTCTCTCTCACCACGTCTCTCTCTCACCACGTCTCTCTGTCTCTCTGTGTCTCTCTCTCACCACGTCTCTCTCTCCGTGTCTCTCTGTCTCTCTCTGTGTCTCTCACGGTGTCTCTCTGTCTCCCCAGGGTGTCTCCCCCGTCCCCGCGCTGTGCGATGGCCTCTCGCGCTTCTTCACTCCTAGCGAGACGACACGGCGCCCCCGGGCAGCGACCACGCGGACGAGACACGGACAGGGAAGAGAGACACAGGGAGGAGAGACACAGGGAGCAGGGGGAGGAGAGACACGGGGAGTAGGAGGAGGAGAGACACAGGGAGCAGGAGGAGGAGAGACACGGGGAGTAGGAGGAGAGGAAGGAGGAGAGACACAGGGAGCAGGGGGAGAGACACGGGGTAAAGGAGGAGATGGAGGAGGTGGAGAGACACGGCCAGGAGGAGGTGAAGGAGGAGTTGGAGTTGGAGGAGGAGGTGGAGGAGGAGGAGGAGGTGAAGGAGGAGGGGGAGGTGGTGGAGGAGGAGTTGGAGTTGGTGGAGGAGGAGTTGGAGGAGGAGGAGTTGGAGGAGTTGGAGGAGGAGTTGGAGTTGGTGGAGGAGGTGGAGGAGGTGGAGGAGTTGGAGTTGGTGGAGGAGGAGGAGGAGGAAGAGGAGTTGGAGGTGGAGGAGGAGGTGGAGGAGGTGGAGGAGTTGGAGGAGGAGGAGTTGGAGGAGGAGTTGGAGGAGGAGGAGTTGGAGGTGGAGGAGTTGGAGGAGGAGGAGTTGGAGGAGGAGTTGGAGGTGGAGGAGGAGGAGTTGGAGTTGGAGGTGGAGGAGGAGTTGGAGGAGGAGTTGGAGTTGTTGGAGGTGGAGGAGGAGGTGGAGGAGGTGGAGGAGGAGGTGGTGGAGGAGGAGGTGGTGAAGGAGGAGGTGAAGGAGTTGTTGGAGGTGAAGGAGCCGGGAGGGTCTCTGCTGGGCTGTGCCGTCCATCGGAGCGAATCTCCGTCAGCTCTGCGGTGGCGACGTCATCGCCGCGTCTCCACTCAGCCACCGCCACCACCACCACCAGCACCACCACCACCACCGCCACCACCACCAGCACCACCACCGCCACCACCACCAGCACCACCACCACCACCACCAGCACCACCACCACCGGGCTGCACACGGCACCCTGCAGCAGCAGCAGCAGCAGCAGCAGCAGTCACTGCTGCACCCCCACCGCCGCCTGCTGCTGCCGCCCACCCCCCTCGCTCTCCAAGTGCCCGCGGGGGGTCGACGGCGGCAAAATGCCCGGGAGAATCGGCCGTGGAATTCCGGCAAAGTCGGACGCGGACGCGGACGCGGACGCCGGGATGGCGAGGGCCGTCTTGGCGATGAGCGGGAGACGCCGCGGGAAGCCGGGCCGGGACAACGTGTCGGTGGTGGGGAAAAGTCCGGGAACGTCGCCGCCGGGAACGTCGCCAACCGGGAGGAGCTTGGCGAAACGCGGCGAGCCGGTGGGACGGCTTTCCCGGAGGGTTCGCCGACGGCGAGGAGTGCCGGAAGATCCGGAGGAGGACGCGGAGGCGGCGGGGACGCTCGGGGAAAAAACTGTCGGGAATTTTGGGGAAAGCGCTGGGGAGCGGGAGGGGATGCGGCGGCCTGCCCGGGAATCTTGGGAGCGGGTCTCCCCCGGGGTCTCCCCCGGGGTCTCCCCCGGGGTCATTCCCGGGGTCATTCCCGGGGTCATTCGCGACGTTCCGGCCCGACCGCCCGCGAAGGCGCCGCGGAAAATTCCCGGGAAACCGGACGGGGACGCCCCCGTGAAACCTGCGGGCGCGGTTCGCCCCGGGAAGCCTCGGCAAACCCGCGGAGGCGGCGTCGGAAGGATCATCGGCGGGGTCGGAGGTCCGGCCGGGGTCGGCGTTCCGGCCGGGAACGAGGCGGCCGTGCCGGGCGACGCCGCGCGAGGAATCCCGGGAAGACCCGACGGGAAGACCCTGGGGAGACGCGATCTGAACGCGGGCGGCAGGTGGCTGATCGGGAACGCCGATCCGGTGGGGATTCCATTGAGCGGAGGAGATGGCGGCGGCGGCGATGATCGCGGCGATGATCGCGGCGGCGATGATCGCGGCGATGATCGCGGCGATATTTCCAGAATTCCGAGCGAGAAGACGCCCGGGAAACTCGACGGAAAAGTCTCGGGTAGAAGAGGAGGAGGAGGAGGAGGAGGAGGACGACGTGGAGGAGGAGGAGGAGGAGGCGGAGGAGGAGGAGGAGGAGGACGACGTGGAGGAGGAGGAGGAGGAGGACGTGGAGGAGGAGGAGGAGGAGGAGGAGGCGGGTCTGGGAATGCCGGGAATGTTTCTCACGGGAAGGTTCACGACGAAGCCCTCGGGAGAGCCGTGATGGCGACGGACGGGGGGCCCGGTGGGACGGCGGGAAAACTCGGAGATTCCCGAGCGGGGAGTCCGGGGAGAGCTTGCGCCGATCCCGCCTCCATCCCGGCGTTCCGCAGGGAACTCGGGAGGCTGCCGGGAGCCGGGGCACGGCGGAGAGCGGGGGCTGACGCGGGGGAGAAGCGGGGCCGTGGGGGAGACACGGCGGAGACGCGGAGACGCGAGGGAGAGAAGGAGACACGGCTACGCGGGCGAGACGTAGCGGGGACGCGGGGACAAGTGGGAGACGCGGGGGAGGCGCGGAGACACCACGGGAGAGACGCAGGCGAGACGCGGAGACGCGAGGGAGAGAAGGAGACACGGCTACGTCCGAGAGATGCGGGGGAGACACGGGGACACCCGGGAGACACGGCGGAGACACGGCTGCACGGGGGAGACGCGGAGGAGATGCAGAGACGCCGTGGGTGGAGGAAGAAACACGGAGAGTGCAGGACGTACGCCGTGTCTGGACTCTTTGATGGCCTCTCCCACATCTACAGCACCCAGGTGAGAGAGAGAGGGAGAGAGAGTTAGAGAGAGAGAGAGAGTTAGAGAGAGAGTTAGAGTTATAGAGAGAGAGAGAGTTAGAGAGAGAGAGTGAGTTAGAGAGAGAGAGTTAGAGAGAGAGAGAGTTAGAGAGAGAGGTAGAGAGAGAGAGTGAGTGAGTTAGAGAGAGTTAGAGACTTTTGACTTTGAAAATCCTTTATTACCCAGTAGCAATTGCCCTGGGCGGTTCCGGTTCCGGTGAGCAATCGCGAGAAGTCGCCAATAAACAAAACCAATAAACAAAACCAATACACAAAACCAATAAACAAAACCAATAAACAAAACCAATAAACAAAACCAATAAACAAAACCAATAAACAAAACCAATAAACAAAACCAATAAACAAAACCAATAAACAAAACCAATACACAAAACCAATAAACAAGACCAATAAACAAAACCAATAAACAAAACCAATAAACAAAACCAATACACAAAACCAATAAACAAAACCAATAAACAAAACCAATACACAAAACCAATACACAAAACCAATAAACAAAACCAATACACAAAACCAATACACAAAACCAATAAACAAAACCAATACACAAAACCAATAAACAAAACCAATAAACAAAACCAATACACAAAACCAATAAACAAAACCAATAAACAAAACCAATAAAGGAGGAGGACGTGGAGGAGGAGGAGGAGGAGGAGGAGGCGGGTCTGGGAATGCCGGGAATGTTTCTCACGGGAAGGTTCACGACGAAGCCCTCGGGAGAGCCGTGATGGCGACGGACGGGGGGCCCGGTGGGACGGCGGGAAAACTCGGAGATTCCCGAGCGGGGAGTCCGGGGAGAGCTTGCGCCGATCCCGCCTCCATCCCGGCCTTCCGCAGGGAACTCGGGAGGCTGCCGGGAGCCGGGGCACGGCGGAGAGCGGGGGCTGACGCGGGGGAGAAGCGGGGCCGTGGGGGAGACACGGCGGAGACGCGGAGACGCGAGGGAGAGAAGGAGACACGGCTACGCGGGCGAGACGTAGCGGGGACGCGGGGACAAGTGGGAGACGCGGGGGAGGCGCGGAGACACCACGGGAGAGACGCAGGCGAGACGCGGAGACGCGAGGGAGAGAAGGAGACACGGCTACGTCCGAGAGATGCGGGGGAGACACGGGGACACCCGGGAGACACGGCGGAGACACGGCTGCACGGGGGAGACGCGGAGGAGATGCAGAGACGCCGTGGGTGGAGGAAGAAACACGGAGAGTGCAGGACGTACGCCGTGTCTGGACTCTTTGATGGCCTCTCCCACATCTACAGCACCCAGGTGAGAGAGAGAGGGAGAGAGAGTTAGAGAGAGAGTTAGAGAGAGAGTTAGAGAGAGAGAGTTAGAGAGAGAGAGAGTTAGAGAGAGAGAGAGTTAGAGAGAGAGAGAGTTAGAGAGAGAGTTAGAGTTATAGAGAGAGAGAGAGTTAGAGAGAGAGAGTGAGAGAGAGAGTTAGAGAGAGAGAGAGTTAGAGAGAGAGTTAGAGAGAGAGTTAGAGAGTTATAGAGAGAGAGTTAGAGAGAGAGTTAGAGAGAGAGAGAGAGTTAGAGAGAGAGAGTTAGAGAGAGAGTTAGAGTTATAGAGAGAGAGAGAGTTAGAGAGAGAGAGTGAGTTAGAGAGAGAGAGAGTTAGAGAGAGAGAGTTAGAGAGAGAGAGAGAGTTAGAGAGAGAGTTAGAGAGAGAGAGTTATAGAGAGAGAGTTAGAGAGAGAGTTAGAGAGAGAGAGAGAGTTAGAGAGAGAGAGTTAGAGAGAGAGTTAGAGTTATAGAGAGAGAGAGAGTTAGAGAGAGAGAGTGAGTTAGAGAGAGAGAGTTAGAGAGAGAGAGAGTTAGAGAGAGAGGTAGAGAGAGAGAGTGAGTGAGTTAGAGAGAGTTAGAGACTTTTGACTTTGAAAATCCTTTATTACCCAGTAGCAATTGCCCTGGGCGGTTCCGGTTCCGGTGAGCAATCGCGAGAAGTCGCCAATAAACAAAACCAATAAACAAAACCAATACACAAAACCAATAAACAAAACCAATAAACAAAACCAATAAACAAAACCAATAAACAAAACCAATAAACAAAACCAATAAACAAAACCAATAAACAAAACCAATAAACAAAACCAATACACAAAACCAATAAACAAGACCAATAAACAAAACCAATAAACAAAACCAATAAACAAAACCAATACACAAAACCAATAAACAAAACCAATAAACAAAACCAATAAACAAAACCAATACACAAAACCAATAAACAAAACCAATACACAAAACCAATAAACAAAACCAATAAACAAAACCAATAAACAAAACCAATAAACAAAACCAATAAACAAAACCAATACACAAAACCAATAAACAAAACCAATACACAAAACCAATAAACAAAACCAATAAACAAAACCAATAAACAAAACCAATAAAACCAATACACAAAACCAATACACAAAACCAATAAACAAAACCAATAAACAAAACCAATAAACAAAAACAATACACAAAACCAATACACAAAACCAATACACAAAACCAATAAACAAAACCAATAAACAAAACCAATAAACAAAACCAATAAACAAAACCAATAAACAAAACCAATACACAAAACCAATACACAAAACCAATACACAAAACCAATACACAAAACCAATACACAAAACCAATAAACAAAACCAATAAACAAAACCAATAAACAAAACCAATAAACAAAACCAATACACAAAACCAATAAACAAGACCAATAAACAAAACCAATAAACAAAACCAATAAACAAAACCAATACACAAAACCAATACACAAAATCGGTGCGGGACATCGCGCTCGAGGCCGGCGACACCGACCACAGTCGAACCCCCCCCCCCCCCCCCCCCCCCCCCCCCCCCCCCCCCCCCCCCCCCCCGGATCCACGCACCGCCCACAAAGACACGGACGGTCCCAGCCACCACCAAAACCAAAGCCGGTCCGCGCGTCACCGCACGCACAGCCAAAACGGCACGACCGACTCGCAAACGGGGCGACAAAGGAACGCCCCCGGTCAAAACGCGCGGCTTCGCAGCGAACAGCGAACAAGTCTGGCAGTGTGACCTGTACCACCGTTCACGTGCCAGCGGTGCAACCGGCAGCGCCGAATCGAGGGAGGGAGCGTCCGAAGAGGAGGAGGAGGGGGGCGGGCACAAGGCGGCGAACGGCTCAAAACCAATCGGCAGTGCGTCGGGCCTGTTCCGCAAAGCTCTCGCGCGAGAAAATTATTATTTTTTTTTTTTACATTCGCATCTCGCTAGAAGGTTTGCCCCAAAGCTGCGATGTACCCGGCCCTGGCCCCCGGCGTATCAGTGAGCCGAGCGGTGTGTCCCCGTGGAGAGGGAGGGAGGGCGGGCGGTGGTGAGTCTCGCCTTGCGTCGAAGAGCGAAAGTCTCGCTCTCCCTGCACCCGGTCTATTAACGTTCTCGGTACGACACGCTCTCTCTCCCACCGAGTGCGGCCGTACTCGTCCGGGTCCTGTTTGAGTATTCGCGCGGTTGCTGGAAAGCCCGGCATGTCGGGGAAGGCGGCCCCGACTTTCGACCTGGGCTCCCCGGGGGGGGGGGGGAGTGGTTCCGGGGGCGTACTGCTACAGCAGAGGTGTAGGGAATTCCCACAGGACCTACGTCTCTGCTTTATTGACCTGGTCAAGGCACTATGATACCATCAACAGGCCAGGGCTGTGAACAGTTCTTCGTGCTTTTGGAGTCCCTGACCCTCCGCTCACGATCATTAAAGGACCTTCGTGATGGTGGGCGGGCCCGGGGTAAAACTACGTGGCCGGGAGTCGGAGCCATTCCCTGTTCAGCCTTGGGGTGCGACAGGGATGTCCTCTGGCTCCCACATTGTTTAACATCTACTTCAACCACGTAGTTCGTGAAGCCTTCCAATGACTGTACCGGAAGAATTTCCACTGGTTGATGCTGGGGTGCGGTCGAGGGATGGCTTCCTATTGCTCAACCACGTTATGTATGCTGATGATCTGGTGATTGCTGCTCACTCAGAGGAGGAGTTGGAGACGCTGCTGCTGAGACTGGAGCGTGCCATTAAGAGGTGCGGCCTTACCATCAGCCCCACCAAAACTAAGCACCTTGCCTGGGTATTTTGTGCCATTAGACACTCCACCCCCTCAGCTCCCCATTGGTGATGGAGCAGTTGTGGAGAGAGTGGAGAGTTTCCCATACCTGGGCAGTGTCCTTATAACCACCTTTGATTTGACAGCAGAGGTCTCGCTCTGATTCAATCGTGCGGCATTATCTTTTCATTATCTGTGTAACGCTGTGTGGAAGCTACCTGGTCTGTCGCTCCGCCCTAAGCTTCAGGTCTTCTCGGCCACGGTCATTCCTTCCCTTCTCTAGGCTTGTGAAACGTGGACCCCCCCTAATGGAACATCTTCGCCGGTTAGAAACATTTAGGCTGGCCTGCCTACGATCCATCCTGGGTTTAACCAGACTGGATTGTGTGAGGAGCTCACAAATCCTTGAAAGATCTGGACAAAGTCCCATCGGTGAGCTCCTCCGGCAGGCAAGGCTGCATTGGCTGGGTCATGTAGCCTGCATGCCCAGTCACCGCATGCCTAACCAACTTTTGATCAGCCAGACAGAGGGAGCTAAATGGGCGCGGCACGGGCTAGAGAAGAGATGGAGTGACGTGGTACAGGAGGACGTGGAGTTGAGTGGACTTGCCGATGACTGGTACCAGCGGTGTCAAGATCGGCCTCTGTGGAGGAGGCTCGTGAAGGACGCTGCTACTGGGCAGTTGGAGGCAGTCGCCCACTAACAACAATGGAGGGCGGAGGACCGATGCTCACAACAACGAGCCGAGCGCCGGGTGGCTAAAATGCAGCAGGTTGGCACAGTAGGGGGCACAGGTGGTGCATCTGCCAGTAGTCATCTCAGTCAGTCGACCCGTGGCACCTGCTGGGTCTGTCCCGTGACCTCCTGCCAACGGGCGTTCGACACTTCACGTGATAGCCTCAAAGTGGTGCACCTAGCCTGGTACAGGCGCCATGGTGACGTCACCGCCACTTAGTGGCGAATGGCGGAGCATTGTATTATTGTGTTGACTCCTGTTTGGTGTTTTAACATCTTAGCAACGGAGGGCGGAGGAGCGACGCTCACAACAACGAGCGGAGCGCCGGGTGGCTAAAGCACAGCAGGTTGGCACAGTAGGGGGCACAGGTGGTGCATCAGCCACTCATCTCAGTCGTCTCAGTCAGTCGACCCATGGCACCTGCTGGGTCTGCCCCGTGACCTGCCAGCGGGCGTTCGACACTCCACGTGGCCTCAGGGTGCACATAGCCTGGCACAAGCGTCGTGGTGACGTCACCGCCACTTAGTGGCGAATGGCGGTTGTTGTTGTGTAGCTGTGTGAGTGTGACTGTGTGTCTTGTGTGAGAGTGTGTGTCTGTGTGAGTGACTGGGTGTCTGTGTGAGTGTGTGTGTGTCTGTGAGTGTGTGTGTGAGTGTGTGTGAGTGTGTGAGTGAGTGTGTGAGCGAGTGTGAGAGTGAGTGTGAGTGTGTGACACTTTCCCCGACAGTCCGTTGAGACTACATGGGAGTTCTTTGTCTCTGCTAGGACGGGGAGCGACGGAAGAAGTTCCGGCCCAACTACTCTCTGCAGGCGACTCGCGGGGCCGTGTCCCTCCACCCGGGGCCGCATCACGACCCCATGGCCATGTGCCCATCTGCAGCGACCTTCCCTGAGAAAAGTAGTCCCTCTTATAATAATAACAATGGTGGTGGTGGTAGTAATGGTGGTGATGGTAGTGATGGTGGTGGTGATGGTAGTGATAGTAGTGATGATGATGCTGGTGCTGGTGGTGGTGGTGATGGTGGTGGTGATGGTGGTGTTGGTGGTGATAGTGGTGGTGATAGTGGTGATGGTGGTGCTGGTGGTGGTGGTGATGGTGGTGGTGGTGGTGATGGTGGTGATGATGATGGTAAATGTAGTGGTGGTGATGATGATGATGGTAAATGTGGTGGTGATAATGGTGGTGATGATGATGGTGGTGATGGTAAATGTGATGATGATGAATGTGGTGATGATGATGATGGTGGAGGTGGTGGTGATGATGAATGTGGTGATGGTGGTGGTGGTTATGATGATGGTGGTGATGATGATGGTAAATGTGGTGATGATGATGGTGGTGATGATGATGGTGGTGATGGTGATGTTTACAGATGGTGATGGTGGTGGTGGTGATGATGGTGGTGTTGGTGGTGGTGGTGTTGGTGGTGGTGGTGATGATGGTGGTGTTGGTGGTGATGATGATGGTGGTGATGATGATGGTAAATGTGGTGGTGATGGTGATGTTTACAGATGGTGATGGTGGTGATGATGATGGTAAATGTGGTGGTGGTGATGATGATGATGGTAGTGATGGTGATGTTTACAGATGGTGATGATGATGGTGGTGGTGATGATGATGATGGTAAATGTGGTGATGATGATGGTGGTGATGGTGATGTTTACAGATGGTGATGGTGGTGATGAACTCAAGACAGATCTGATCTCGTCAGCATCAGAATCCGTCTCTTCCCACACAGGTGAGAGAGAGAGAGGGAACATCGGTTAGACACAATATTTCCTGCGTCTCTCTCCTCGTGTCTCTCTCCCGTGTCTGTCTCTCCTCGTGTCTCTCTCTCCCCCCCATGTCTCTCTCCCCGTGTCTCTCCCCCCCATGTCTCTCTCCCCGTGTCTCTCCCCGTGTCTCTCTCCCGTGTCTCTCTCTCTCCCCGTGTCTCTCTCCCGTGTGTCTCTTCCCGTGTCTCTCTCTCCTCGTGTCTCTCTCTCCTCGTGTCTCTCCCCCGTGTCTCTCTCTCCCCCCCATGTCTCTCAATGTCTCTCTCTCTCCCATGTCCCTCTCTCCCCCCCCATGTCTCTCTCTCTCTCCCGTGTCTCTCTCTCCCGTGTCTCTCTCTCCCGTGTCTCTCTCCCCGTGTCTCTCTCTCTCCGTGTTCCAGGTGCCTGTAGGGGAAGTGGGGTGAAGGTGTCGAGTGAAGATCTGGAGATGTTCCAAGCAGCACAGCAACGAGCGGGCGAGGTGACCTCACCACTCACCACTCACCACTCATTCACTCACCACTCACCACTCACTCACTCACTTACCACTCACTCACCACTCATTCACTCACTCACCCACTCACTTACCACTCACTCACCCACTCACTCATTCACTCACCCACTCACTCACTCACCACTCACTCACCACTCACTCACCACTCACTCACTACTCACTCACCACTCATTCACTCACCACTCACTCACCCACTCACTCACTCACCACTCACTCACCCACTCACTCACTTACCACTCACTCACCCACTCACTCATTCACTCACCCACTCACTCACCACTCACTCACCCACTCACTCACTTACCACTCACTCACCCACTCACTCACCCACTTACCCACTCACCCACTTACCCACTCACCCACTTACCACTCACTCACTCACCCACCCACTCACTCGCCCACTCACTCGCTCACTCACCCACTCACCCACTTACCACTCGCTCACTCACTCACCCATCCACTCACTCACCCACTCACTCACCCACTCACCCACTCACTCACTCACTCACCCACTCACTCACCCACTCACCCACCCACTCACTCACCCACTCACCCACTCACCCACTCACTCACTCACCCACCCACTCACCCACCCACTCACTCACTCACTCACCCACCCACTCACCCACCGACCCACTCACTCACTCACCCACCCACCCACCCACTCACCCACCCACTCCCCCACCCACCCACTCACTCACTCACTCACCCACCCACTCACTCACTCACCCACTCACTCACCCACTCACTCACCCACCCACTCACTCACTCACCCATTCCCGTGTCTCTCCTCGTCCCCGTGTAGCGCCTCTGTCTCCGTGTGGACTCTCTGTTCCCGGCTGTGATTGAGATCGGCCGTTATGAGATCCAGACCCTGTACCACTCAGCCCTGCCAGCGAACCTCGCTCAGTGAGTTACTCACTCACTCACTCACCACTCACTCACCACTCATTCACCCACCCACTCACTCACTCACCCACCCATCCACTCACTAACCCACTCACTCACTTATTCACCCACTCACTTACCCACTCACTCACCCACCGAATTACTCACCCACTCACTCATCAACCCACTCACCCATTCAATCACTCACCCACTCACTCACCACTCACTAACCCAATCACTCACTCACTCACCCGCTCACTCACCCGCTCACCCACCCACTTACTCACCTACTCACTCACCAACCCACTCAACCATTCACTCACTCACCAACTCACTCGCTAACGCAATGACTCACCTGGTCACTCCCCCGGTCACTCACCACACACTCACCCACTCACTCACTCATGCACCCATCCACTCATCCAATCATCCACTCATTCACTAACCCACTCACTCACCCACCCACTCACTCACCCACCCACCTACTCACCCACTCACTCACTCACCAACCACTCACTCACCAACCCACTCACCCATTCACTCACCAACCAACTCGCTCACCCAGTCACTCACTACTCACTCACTCACGCAACCACCCATTCACCCACCAATCCACTCATTCACTCACCCACTCACTGACTCACCCACTCACTAATTCACTAATTCACAGCATCTATATCACCATTAATCATAATATCATCATCATGACCACAATATAATATACATCTCTCTCTCCGTGTCTCCCTCCCCCGTGTCTCCCTCCCCGTGTCTCTCTCCCCGTGTCCCTCTCCCCGTGTCTCTCTCTCCCCGTGTCTCTCTCCCTGTGTCTCTCTCTCCCCGTGTCTCTCTCTCCCCGTGTCTCTCTCTCCACGTGTCTCTCTCTCCCCGTGTGTCTCTCTCCACATGTCTCTCTCTCCCCGTGTCTCTCTCTCCCCGTGTCTCTCTCTCCCCGTGTGTCTCTCTCCACGTGTCTCTCTCTCCCCGTGTCTCTCTCTCTCCCCGTGTCTCTCTCCCCGTGTCTCTCTCTCCCCGTGTCCCTCTCCCCCGTGTCTCTCTCCCCGTGTCTCTCTCTTCCCGTGTCTCTCTCTCCCCGTGTCCCTCTCCCCCGTGTCTCTATCTCCCCGTGTCTCTCTCTCCCCGTGTCTCTATCTCCCCGTGTCTCTATCTCCCTGTGTCTCTATCTCCCCGTGTCTCTATCTCCCCGTGTCTATTTCCCCGTTTCTCTCTCCCCCGTGTCTCTCTCTCCGTGTCTCTCTCCCCGTGTCTCTCTCCCCGTGTCTCTCTCCCCGTGTCTATCTCCCCGTGTCTCTCTCCCCCCGTGTGTCTCTCTCTCCCCGTGTCTCTATCTCCCCGTGTCTCTCTCCCCGTGTCTATCTCTCCCCGTGTCTCTCTCTCCCCGTGTCTCTCTCCCCGTGTCTCTATCTCCCCGTGTCTCTCTCTCCCCGTGTGTCTCCCTTTCTCCCTGTGTCTCTCTTACCTCGTGTGTCTCTGTCCCACGTATCTTTGTGTGTGTGTCTGTCTGTCTGCCTCTCTGTATGTCTGTGTGTGTGTGTTTGTATCTCTGTGTGTGTGCGTGTTTGTGTGTGTGTGTGTCTGTCTGTCTGTCTGCCTCTCTGTGTGTCTGTGTGTGTGTCTATGTATGTGTGTCTGTGTGTGTCTATGTATGTGTGTCTGTGTGTGTGTTTGTATCTGTGTGTGTCTGTGTGTATGTCTGTGTGAGTGTGTGTTGCTGTGTGTGTGTGTCTGTGTGTGTGTTGCTGTGTGAGTGTGTGTCTGTGTGTGTGTGTATGTGTGTGTGTGTGAGTGTGTGTGTGTCTGTGTGTGTGTGTATGTGTGAGTGTCTGTGTGTGTGTGAGTGTGTGTGTATGTATGTGTGTGTGTGAGTGTGTCTGTGTGTGTATGTGTCTGTGTATGTGTATCTGTGTGTGTGTTGCTGTGAGTGTGTGTGTGTGTTGATGTGTGTATCTGTGTGTGTCTGTGTGTCTGTGTGTGTGTGTATGTGTGTATGTATGTGTGAGTGTGTGTCTATGTGTACGTGTGTCTGTGTGTCTGTGTGTGTGTATGTGTGTGTGTACGTGTGTATGTATGTGTATGTGTGAGTGAGTGTGTGTCTATGTGTACGTGTGTCTGTGTGTCTGTGTGTGTGTGTATATGTGTGTGTGTGTACGTGTGTATGTATGTGTATGTGTGAGTGTGAGTGTGTCTATGTGTGTGTGTGTACGTGTGTATGTGTGTGTATGTCTGTGTGTGTATGTGTATGTGTGTGAATCTGTGTGTGTGTATGTCTGTGTGTGTGTGTGTGTGTATGTCTGTGTGTGTGTATGTCTGTGTGTGTATGTGTATGTGTGTGAATCTGTGTGTGTGTATGTTTGTGTGTGTGTGTCTGTGTGTGTGTGTGTGTGTCTGTGGGGAGCGATAGTGTAGCGGTTAGCGCGCTGCGCTATGAACCTGGCGACCCGGGTTCGATTCCCGCTCACGGCCAACACCAGTGACGATTATCTGAACCGGTCCCGGGCCTTCCCCTAGGTCGACTCAGCCTCAAATGAGTACCTGGTGCGGTGTGTAAACATTGCTACTAGGGAGACAAAGGCGGTCGGGCGTGGTGCTGGCCACCCACCCCCTCGTGTACCGTTCCGGCCTTCATAGGTGCTCGCTAACAGCACTTGCCCCTACAGTCTGTTAAGGCTATATGGGGGATCTTTGTTTATCTTTGTTGTGTGTCTGTGTGTGTGTGTGTCTGTGTGTGTGTGTCTGTGTGTGTGTGTGTGTGTAGGTGCGTGCGTCTCTTTGTCTGTGAGTTCTGTTTGTGCTTCCTGTGCTCGCGTGGCTCCCTGCAGAGGCACAGCTCCAAATGTCGTCGCTGTCAGCCGCCAGCGGCGGAGATCTACCGTGACGGGACTCTGTCCGTCTACGAGGTGACGTCTCTGTCTCTGTGTCTCTGTGTCTGTCTCTCTGTGTGTCTCTGTGTGTGTCTCTGTGTGTGTGTGTATGTGTGTCTCTGTGTATCTCTGTGTGTGTGTGTGAGAGTCTCTGTGTATCTCTCTGTGTGTATGTGAGTCTCTTGTGTCTGTGTATCTGTGTGTGTGTGTGTGTCTCCTTGTGTCTCTGTGTGTGTGTGTCTCCTTGTGTCTCTGTGTATCTCTCTCTGTGTGTGAGTCTCCTTGTGTCTCTGTGTATCTCTCTCTGTGTGTGAGTCTCCTTGTGTCTGTGTATCTGTGTGTGTGTGTCTCCTTGTGTCTCTGTGTATCTCTATGTGTGTGTGAGTCTCCTTGTGTCTGTGTCTCTGTGTGTATGTGAGTCTCTTGTGTCTCTGTGTGTGTGTGTGAGTCTCCTTGTGTCTGTGTGTCTCTGTGTGTGTGTGAGTCTCCTTGTGTCTCTGTGTGTGTGTCTCCTTGTGTCTCTGTCTGTGTGTGTGTCTCCTTGTGTCTCTGTGTATCTCTGTGTGTGTGTGAGTCTCCTTGTGTCTGTGTGTCTCTGTGTGTGTGTGAGTCTCCTTGTGTCTCTGTGTATCTCTCTCTGTGTGTGAGTTTCCTTGTGTCTCTGTGTATATCTCTGTGTGTGTGTATGTGTGTCTCCTTGTGTCTCTGTGTATCTCTATGTGTGTGTGAGTCTCCTTGTGTCTCTGTGTATCTCTGTATGTGTATGTGAGTCTCCTTGTGTCTCTGTGTGTCTCTTGTGTGTCTGTGTGAGTGTGAATCTCCTTGTGTCTCTGTGTGTGTGTGTATGTGTGTGAGTCTCTGTGTGTCTCTGTGTATCTCTATGTGTGTGTGTGTGTGAGTCTCCTTGTGTCTCTGTGTATCTCTATGTGTGTGTGAGTCTCCTTGTGTCTCTGTGTATCTCTCTCTGTGTGTATGTGAGTCTCCTTGTGTCTCTGTGTATCTCTGTGTGTGTATGTGAGTCTCCTTGTGTCTCTGTGTGTCTCTTGTGTCTCTGTGTGAGTGTGAGTCTCCTTGTGTCTCTGTGTGTATGTGTGTGAGTCTCTGTGTGTCTCTGTGTATCTCTCTGTGTGTGTGTGTGAGTCTCTGTGTATCTCTGTGTGTGTGTGTGTGAGTCTCCTTGTGTCTCTGTGTGTGTGTGTATGTGTGTGAGTCTCTGTGTGTCTCTGTGTATCTCTCTCTGTGTGTATGTGAGTCTCCTTGTGTCTCTGTGTATCTCTATGTGTGTGTGAGTCTCCTTGTGTCTCTGTGTATCTCTATGTGTGTGTGAGTCTCCTTGTGTCTCTGTGTATCTCTGTGTGTATGTGAGTCTCTGTGTGTCTCTGTGTATCTCTCTCTGTGTGTATGTGAGTCTCCTTGTGTCTCTGTGTATCTCTCTGTGTGTATGTGAGTCTCTGTGTGTCTCTGTGTATCTCTGTGTGTATGTGAGTCTCCTTGTGTCTCTGTGTATCTCTCTGTGTGTGCGTGTGGGGAGCGGTGGTGTAGCAGTCAGCGCTACTCTGCGCTACGAACCCGGCGACCCGAGTTCGATTCCCGCTCACGGCCACCAACATCAACACCGGTGACGATTATCTGAACTGGTTCTGGGCCTCCCCTAGGTCGACTCGGCCTCGAATTAGTTCCTTCTGCGGTGTGTAGTAAATATCGCCACTGGGGAGACAAAGGCGGCCGGGGGTGGTGCTGGCCACCCACCCCCTCGTGTGCCGTGCCGGCCTTCATAGGTGCTCGCTAACGGCACTTGCCCCTACAGTCTGTTAGAGGCTACACGGGTGGTCTTTGTCTTTGTATATAGGTTGATGTCAATATAAATGCCCCTTATTGCCATAATCTGTGCCTGCTGGCCATGCTGTTCCTGCTTTGTGTGTCTCTGTGTCTGTGTGTATCTCTGTGTGTGTCTATGTGTGTGTGGGTCTGTGTGTATCTCTGTGTGTGTCTCTCTCTGTGTCTCTCTGTGTGTATCTATGTGTATTTCTCCATGTGTGTATATCTACGTGTGTGTCTTTACGTGTGTGTGTCTCTCTCTGTGTCTCTCTGTGTGTCTATCTCTGTGTGTCTCTGTGTGTCTATCTCTGTGTGTATCTACGTGTATTTCTGCGCGTGTGTCTCTCTGTGTGTGTGTCTCTGTATGTGTGTCTGTATCTGTGTGTGTCTCTCTCTGCGTATATCTCTGTGTGTGTCTCTGTGTGTCTATATCTGTGTGTATCTACGTGTATTTCTCCATGTGTGTCTCTGTCCGTGTCTCTGTGTGTCTTATCTCTCTGTGTGCATCTGTGCGTGTCTCTCTCTCTCTCTCTGTGTCTATCTCTGTGTGTGTCTATGACCCTCTACCTCCTCGCTGGTGCCGGATGGGAACGCTGTGGTGGATGCGTGGAAAGGCCAATTCTAAAATAGGGTCTACCCCCTTGCAGCCTCCACAGCGGTCAAACGGGGGCTCTGGACGGATGCAAGGGGCTGGTAACCTCTCTCCCCACCTTCCATTCAACTACCACTGACCACACCCACACCCATCCTAGCAGCTCCATGCAGCACTGCAAGGATGGGTGGTGGTCGCGGGTTGCCGAGGGGATGGAGTCTGCCTCGGAAGCCCGCGGGCACAAGTCGCTCTTTAACGCCATAAAGAAAAGTAACTTGCAGCGCCGTGCTTATCGCCGTCGTTGGGGATAAGAGAGGCGAACCAATCTCCGACACCCTGCTGTGTCTGCAAGCTGCCTGGTCCGTAGCTCCACGTGAAGCTTCGGGTCTTCTCGGCCACAGTCATGCCCTCCCTTCTCTCTCTACGCTTGCGAAACGTAGACTCCCCCCCCCCCCCCCCTATTAGATCATCTTTGCCGGTGAGAAACATTTAGGGCTGGCCTGCCTACGATCCATCCTGGGTTTAACCTACAGGCTGGATTGTGTGAGGAGCTCGCAAATCCTTGAAAGATCTGGGCAAGGTCCCATCGGTGAGCTCCTCCGGCGGGCAATGCTGCGATGGCTGGGTCATGTAGCCCGCATGCCCAGCCACCGCATGCCGAAACAGCTTTTGTTCGGCCAGATTGAGGGGGCTAAGCGGGCGCGGCACGGGCTAGAGAAGAGATGGAGTGATGTGGTACAGGAGGACGTGGAGCTGAGTGGACTTGCCGATGACTGGTACCAGCGGTGTCAAGATTGGCCTCTGTGGAGGAGGCTCGTGAAGGACGCTACTGGGCAGTTGGAGGCAGTCGCCCTCCAGCAACAACGGAGGGCGGAGGAGCGACGCTCACAACAACGAGCGGAGCGCCGGGTGGCTAAAGCACAGCAGGTTGGCACAGTAGGGGGCACAGGTGGTGCATCAGCCAGTCACCTCAGTCAGTTGACCCGTGGCACCTGGGTCTGCCCCGTGACCTGCCAGCGGGCGTTTGACACTTCACGTGGCCTCAGGGTGCACATAGCCTGGCACAAGCGTCGTGGTGACGTCACCGCCACTTAGTGGTGAATGGCGGTTGTTGTTGTATCTCTGTGTGTGAATCTCTCTGTGTGTGTATCTCTGTATGTGTATCTCTGTGTGTGTATCTCTGTGTGTGTATCTCTGTATGTGTATCTCTGTGTGTGTATCTCTGTGTGTGAATCTCTCTGTATGTGTATCTCTGTGTGTGTATCTCTGTATGTGTATCTCTGTGTGTGTATCTCTGTGTATCTGTGTGTGTATCTCTGTATGTGTATCTCTGTGTGTGTATCTCTGTGTGTGTATCTCTGTATGTGTATCTCTGTGTGTGTATCTCTGTGTGTGTATCTCTGTATGTGTATCTCTGTGTGTGTATCTCTGTGTATCTCTGTGTGTATCTCTGTATGTGTATCTCTGTGTGTGTATCTGTGTGTGTATCTCTGTATATCTCTGTGTGTGAATCTCTCTGTATGTGTATCTCTGTGTGTGTATATCTGTGTGTGTATCTGTGTGTGTATCTGTGTGTGTGTATCTCTCTCTGTGTGTATCTCTCTGTGTGTATCTGTGTGTGTATCTGTGTGTATCTGTGTGTGTATCTCTCTGTGTGTATCTGTGTGTGTATCTGTGTGTGTGTATCTGTGTGTGTATCTCTCTCTATGTATATCTCTATCTGTGTGTATCTCTCTCTATGTATATCTCTATCTGTGTGTATCTCTCTCTATGTATATCTCTATCTGTGTGTATCTCTCTCTCTATGTATATCTCTATCTGTGTGTATCTCTCTCTATGTATATCTCTATCTGTGTGTATCTCTCTCTATGTATATCTCTATCTGTGTGTATCTCTCTCTATGTATATCTCTATCTGTGTGTATCTCTCTCTCTATGTATATCTCTATCTGTGTGTATCTCTCTCTATGTATATCTCTATCTGTGTGTATCTCTCTCTATGTATATCTCTATCTGTGTGTATCTCTCTCTATGTATATCTCTATCTGTGTGTATCTCTCTCTGTGTGTATCTGTGTGTATCTCTCTGTGTGTATCTCTCTGTGTGTGTATCTCTCTGTGTGTATCTCTCTGTGTGTATCTCTGTGTATCTCTCTGTGTATCTGTGTCTCCCTCTGTGTGTATCTCTCTGTGTGTATCTCTCTGTGTGTATCTCTCTGTGTGTATCTCTGTGTATCTCTCTGTGTATCTGTGTCTCCCTCTGTGTGTATCTCTCTGTGTGTATCTCTGTGTGTGTGTATCTGTGTGTGTGTATCTCTCTGTGTGTATCTCTCTCTATGTATATCTCTCTCTGTGTGTATCTCTGTGTGTGTATCTGTGTGTATCTCTCTGTGTGTATCTCTCTGTGTGTATCTCTCTGTGTGTGTATCTCTCTCTATGTATATATCTCTCTCTGTGTGTATCTGTGTGTGTGTATCTGTGTGTATCTCTGTGTGTATCTCTGTGTGTGTGTGTATCTGTGTGTATCTGTGTGTATCTCTGTGTATGTCTATCTGTGTGTATCTGTGTGTGTATCTCTGTGTATCTCTGTATGTGTATATCTCTGTGTATGTCTCTCTGTGTGTGTATCTCTACAGGTGGATGGCAGTGTGAGTGCCCCCTACTGCCGTAACCTGTGCCTGCTGGCCATGCTGTTCCTGCCCCACAAGACGCTGTGTCTGTGTGTGTCTCTCTGTGTGTGTATCTCTGTGTGTATCTCTCTGTGTGTGTATCTCTGTGTGTATCTCTCTGTGTGTGTATCTCTGTGTGTATCTCTCTGTGTGTGTGTATCTGTGTGTGTATCTCTGTGTGTGTATCTCTGTGTGTGTATCTCTCTGTGTGTATCTCTATGTATCTCTCTGTGTGTATCTCTGTGTGTGTATCTCTCTGTGTGTATCTCTGTGTGTGTATCTCTCTGTGTGTATCTCTGTGTGTGTATCTCTCTGTGTGTATCTCTCTGTGTGTATCTCTGTGTGTATCTCTCTGTATGTCTCTCTCTGTGTGTATCTGTGTGTATCTCTGTGTGTCTCTCTATCTGTGTGTATCTCTGTGTGTATCTCTGTGTGTGTGTATCTCTATCTATGTATCTGTGTGTGTGTATCTCTGTGTGTGTGTATCTCTGTGTGTATCTCTCTGTATCTGTGTATCTCTATCTATGTATCTCTCTGTGTGTATCTGTGTGTGTGTGTATCTCTGTGTGTGTATCTCCATGTGTGTATCTCTGTGTGTGTATCTCTCTGTGTGTATCTCTCTGTGTGTATCTCTGTGTGTATCTCTCTGTATGTCTCTCTCTGTGTGTATCTGTGTGTATCTCTGTGTGTCTCTCTATCTGTGTGTATCTCTGTGTGTATCTCTGTGTGTGTGTATCTCTATCTATGTATCTGTGTGTGTGTATCTCTGTGTGTGTGTATCTCTGTGTGTATCTCTCTGTATCTGTGTATCTCTATCTATGTATCTCTCTGTGTGTATCTGTGTGTGTGTGTATCTCTGTGTGTGTATCTCCATGTGTGTATCTGTGTGTGTGTATCTCTCTGTGTGTGTATCTCTCTGTGTGTATATCTCTCTGTGTGTATCTCTGTGTATCTCTCTGTGTGTATCTCTGTGTGTGTCTCTCTCTGTGTGTATCTCTATCTCTGTATCTCTCTGTGTGTATCTCTGTGTGTGTATCTCTCTGTGTGTATCTCTGTGTGTGTATCTCTCTGTGTGTATCTCTCTGTGTGTATCTCTGTGTGTATCTCTCTGTGTGTATATCTCTCTGTGTGTATCTGTGTGTATCTCTGTGTGTCTCTCTATCTGTGTGTATCTCTGTGTGTATCTCTGTGTGTGTGTATCTCTATCTATGTATCTGTGTGTGTGTATCTCTGTGTGTGTGTATCTCTGTGTGTATCTCTCTGTATCTGTGTATCTCTATCTATGTATCTCTCTGTGTGTATCTGTGTGTGTGTGTATCTCTGTGTGTGTATCTCCATGTGTGTATCTCTGTGTGTGTATCTCTCTGTGTGTATCTCTCTGTGTGTATCTCTGTGTGTATCTCTCTGTATGTCTCTCTCTGTGTGTATCTGTGTGTATCTCTGTGTGTCTCTCTATCTGTGTGTATCTCTGTGTGTATCTCTGTGTGTGTGTATCTCTATCTATGTATCTGTGTGTGTGTATCTCTGTGTGTGTGTATCTCTGTGTGTATCTCTCTGTATCTGTGTATCTCTATCTATGTATCTCTCTGTGTGTATCTGTGTGTGTGTGTATCTCTGTGTGTGTATCTCCATGTGTGTATCTGTGTGTGTGTATCTCTCTGTGTGTGTATCTCTCTGTGTGTATATCTCTCTGTGTGTATCTCTGTGTATCTCTCTGTGTGTATCTCTGTGTGTGTCTCTCTCTGTGTGTATCTCTATCTATGTATCTCTCTGTGTGTATCTCTGTGTGTGTATCTCTCTGTGTGTATCTCTGTGTGTGTATCTCTCTGTGTGTATCTCTCTGTGTGTATCTCTGTGTGTATCTCTCTGTGTGTATATCTCTCTGTGTGTATCTGTGTGTATCTCTGTGTGTCTCTCTATCTGTGTGTATCTCTGTGTGTATCTCTGTGTGTGTGTATCTCTATCTATGTATCTGTGTGTGTGTATCTCTGTGTGTGTGTATCTCTGTGTGTATCTCTCTGTATCTGTGTATCTCTATCTATGTATCTCTCTGTGTGTATCTGTGTGTGTGTGTATCTCTGTGTGTGTATCTCCATGTGTGTATCTCTGTGTGTGTATCTCTCTGTGTGTATCTCTCTGTGTGTATCTCTGTGTGTATCTCTCTGTATGTCTCTCTCTGTGTGTATCTGTGTGTATCTCTGTGTGTCTCTCTATCTGTGTGTATCTCTGTGTGTATCTCTGTGTGTGTGTATCTCTATCTATGTATCTGTGTGTGTGTATCTCTGTGTGTGTGTATCTCTGTGTGTATCTCTCTGTATCTGTGTATCTCTATCTATGTATCTCTCTGTGTGTATCTGTGTGTGTGTGTATCTCTGTGTGTGTATCTCCATGTGTGTATCTGTGTGTGTGTATCTCTCTGTGTGTATCTCTGTCTATGTATCTCTCTGTGTGTATCTCTGTGTGTGTCTCTCTCTGTGTGTATCTCTATCTATGTATCTCTCTGTGTGTATCTCTATCTATGTATCTCTCTGTGTGTATCTCTGTGTGTATCTCTCTGTGTGTATCTCTGTGTGTGTCTCTCTCTGTGTGTATCTCTATCTATGTATCTCTCTGTGTGTATCTCTGTGTGTGTATCTCTCTGTGTGTATCTCTGTGTGTATCTCTGTGTGTATCTCTCTGTATGTCTCTCTCTGTGTGTATCTGTGTGTATCTCTGTGTGTCTCTCTATCTGTGTGTATCTCTGTGTGTATCTCTGTGTGTGTGTATTTCTATCTATGTATCTGTGTGTGTGTATCTCTGTGTGTGTGTATCTCTGTGTGTATCTCTCTGTATCTGTGTATCTCTCTCTATGTATCTCTCTGTGTGTATCTGTGTGTGTGTGTATCTCTGTGTGTGTATCTCCATGTGTGTATCTGTGTGTGTGTATCTCTCTGTGTGTATCTCTGTGTGTGTGTATCTCTCTGTGTGTGTGTGTCTCTGTGTGTGTGTGTATCTGTGTGTGTATATGTGTATCTGTGTGTATCTCTCTGTGTATCTCTGTGTGTGTATCTCTCTGTGTGTATCTCTGTGTGTATCTCTCTGTGTGTATCTGTGTATCTCTCTCTGTGTGTATCTGTGTGTGTATCTCTGTGTATCTCTGTATGTGTATATCTCTGTGTATGTCTCTCTGTGTGTGTATCTCTACAGGTGGATGGCAGTGTGAGTGCCCCCTACTGCCATAACCTGTGCCTGCTGGCCATGCTGTTCCTGCCCCACAAGACGCTGTGCGTCGATGTGCAGCTGTTCCTCTTCTACGTCGTGACGCAGCACGACCACCACGGGAGCCACCTTGTCGCTTACTTCAGCAAGGCACCCACAGCCCCCTGGGGGGACGGGGGATGGGGGGGGATAGACAGCATCACGCTCACACACTCGAGAGAGACACAGAGAGAGAGAGAGACAGAGAGAGAGAGAGAGACACAGAGAGAGAGACAGAGAGAGACACAGAGAGAGAGACAGAGAGAGAGAGACACAGAGAGAGAGAGAGAGACAGAGAGAGAGAGAGAGAGAGACAGAGAGAGAGAGAGAGAGACAGAGAGACAGAGAGAGAGAGACACACACAGAGAGAGAGAGACAGAGAGACATAGAGAGAGACAGAGAGAGAGACACACAGAGAGAGAGACAGAGAGACACACAGAGAGAGAGACAGAGAGAGACAGACAGAGAGACACAGAGAGAGACAGAGAGAGAGACAGAGAGAGACAGAGAGAGAGAGACACAAAGAGAGAGACAGAGAGAGACAGAGAGGGAGAGACAGAGACACAAGAGACACAGAGAGAGAGACAGAGAGAGAGACACAGAGAGATTGAGACACAGAGATTGAGACACAGAGAGAGAGACACACACAGAGACACATAGAGACACAAAGAGAGACACAGAGAGAGAGAGACAGAGAGAGAGACACAGAGAGAGAGACACAGGGAGAGAGACAGAGAGAGAGACACACAGAGAGACACAGAGAGAGACAGAGAGAGAGACACAGAGAGAGACACAGAGAGAGACACAGAGAGAGACACAGAGAGAGACAGAGAGAGACACAGAGAGAGACAGAGAGAGACACAGAGAGAGACAGAGAGAGACACAGAGAGAGAGAGAGACACAGAGAGAGACTGAGACAGAGAGAGACACAGACAGAGAGACAGAGAGAGATGGCAATAGATTCACTCACTCACCTGCTAAGAGACGCAGAGATGGAGAGAGACTTGGAGAGTTTAATTGTTGTGGTCATGGTTAATGTGGTGGTTGTTGTGGTGGTTAATGTCGTGGTTGTTGTGGTGGTTAATGTCGTGGTTGTTGTGGTGGTTGTTGTGGTGGTTAATGTCGTGGTTAATGTGGTGGTTGTTGTGGTGGTTAATGTCGTGGTTAATGTGGTGGTTGTTGTGGTTAATGTCGTGGTTAATGTGGTGGTTGTTGTGGTGGTTAATGTGGTGGTTAATGTGGTGGTTGTTGTGGTTAATGTGGTGGTTGTTGTGGTGGTTAATGTCGTGGTTAATGTGGTGGTTGTTGTGGTTAATGTCGTGGTTAATGTGGTGGTTGTTGTGGTGGTTAATGTGGTTAATGTGGTGGTTGTTGTGGTGGTTGATGTGGTGGTTAATGTTGTGGTTAATGTGGTGGTTGTTGTTGTGGTTAATGTCGTGGTTAATGTGGTGGTTGTTGTGGTTAATGTGGTGGTTAATGTGGTGGTTGTTGTGGTGGTTGATGTTGTGGTTAATGTCGTGGTTAATGTGGTGGTTGTTGTGGTTAATGTCGTGGTTAATGTGGTGGTTGTTGTGGTTAATGTCGTGGTTAATGTGGTGGTTGTTGTGGTGGTTAATGTCGTGGTTGTTGTGGTGGTTAATGTCGTGGTTGTTGTGGTGGTTAATTTCGTAGTTAACATGGTGGTTGTGGTTAATGTCGTGGTTAATGTGGTGGTTGATGTTGTGGTTAATGTCGTGGTTGTGGTTAATTCATGTTTAATGTCGTGGTTGTTGTTGTGGTTAATGTCGTGGTTAATGTGGTGGTTGTTGTCGTGTTTAATGTCGTGGTTGTTGTGGTGGTTGTGGTTAATTCATGTTTAATGTCGTGGTTGTTGTGGTGGTTAATGTGCTGGTCTGGTGGTTGTGGTTAATGTCGTGTTTAATGTCGTGGTTGTTGTTGTGGTTAATGTCGTGGTTGTTGTGGTGGTTGTGGTTAATGTCGTGTTTAATGTCGTGGTTGTTGTTGTGGTTAATGTGCTGGTTGTTCTGGTGGTTGTGGTTAATGTCGTGTTTAATGTCGTGGTTGTTGTGGTGGTTAATGTCGTGGTTGTTGTGGTGGTTGTGGTTAATTCATGTTTAATGTCGTGGTTGTTGTGGTGGTTAATGTGGTGGTTGTTGTGGTGGTTGTGGTTAATTCATGTTTAATGTCGTGGTTGTTGTGGTGGTTAATGTGGTGGTTGTTGTGGTGGTGGCTGTGTCTGTGTGCAGGAGAAGCAAGCTAAGCAGGCACATAACCTCTCCTGCATCCTGACGCTGCCCCAGTACCAGAGGCTGGGATACGGACACTTCCTCATCAGCCTGAGTGAGAGACACAGATACACGGGGGGGTGGGCGGGAGGCACTGTGGGTCTCTATGGGTCTGGGTGTCTGTGGGTCTCTATGGGTCTGGGTCTCTGTGGGTCTCTATGGGTCTGGGTGTCTGTGGGTCTCTATGGGTCTGGGTGTGTGTGGGTCTCTATGGGTCTGGGTGTCTGTCGGTCTGGGTGTCTGTGGTTCTCTATGGGTCTGGGTGTCTGTGGGTCTCTATGGGTCTGGGTGTCTGTGGGTCTCTATGGGTCTGGGTGTCTGTGGGTCTCTATGGGTCTGGGTGTCTGTGGGTCTCTGTGGGTCTGGGTCTCTGTGGGTCTCTATGGGTCTGGGTGTCTGTGGGTCTCTATGGGTCTGGGTGTCTGTGGGTCGCTATGGGTCTGGGTGTGTGTGGGTCTCTATGGATATGGGTGTCTGTGGGTCTCTATGGGTCTCTGTGGGTCTCTATGGGTCTGGGTGTCTGTGGGTCTCTATGGGTCTGGGTGTCTGTGGGTCTCTATGGGTCTGGGTGTCTGTGGGTCTCTATGGGTCTGGGTGTGTGTGGGTCTCTGTGGGTCTGGGTGTCTGTGGGTCTCTATGGGTCTGGGTGTCTGTGGGTCTCTATGGGTCTGGGTCTCTGTGGGTCTCTATGGGTCTGGGTGTCTGTGGGTCTCACTATGGGTCTGGGTGTGTGTGGGTCTCTATGGATATGGGTGTCTGTGGGTCTCTATGGGTCTCTGTGGGTCTCTATGGGTCTGGGTGTCTGTGGGTCTCTATGGGTCTGGGTGTCTGTGGGTCTCTATGGGTCTGGGTGTCTGTGAGTCTCTATGGGTCTGGGTGTCTGTGGGTCTCTGTGGGTCTGGGTGTCTGTGGGTCTCTATGGGTCTGGGTGTCTGTGGGTCTCTATGGGTCTGGGTGTCTGTGGGTCTCTATGGGTCTGGGTGTCTGTGGGTCTCTATGGGTCTCGGTGTCTGTGGGTCTCTATGGGTCTGGGTGTCTGTGGGTCTCTATGGGTCTGGGTGTCTGTGAGTCTCTATGGGTCTGGGTGTCTGTGGGTCTCTGGGGGTCTGGGTGTCTGTGGGTCTCTATAGGTCTGGGTGTCTGTGGGTCTCTATGGGTCTGGGTGTCTGTGGGTCTCTATGGGTCTGGGTGTCTGTGGGTCTCTATGGGTCTGGGTGTCTGTGGGTCTCTGTGGGTCTGGGTGTGTGTGGGTCTTTATGGGTCTGGGTGTCTGTGGGTCTCTATGGGTCTGGGTGTCTGTGGGTCTCTGGGGGTCTGGGTGTCTGTGGGTCTCTATAGGTCTGGGTGTCTGTGGGTCTCTATGGGTCTGGGTGTCTGTGGGTCTCTGTATGGGTCTGGGTGTCTGTGGGTCTCTATGGGTCTGGGTGTCTGTGGGTCTCTATGGGTCTGGGTGTCTGTGGTTCTCTATGGGTCTGGGTGTCTGTGGGTCTCTATGGGTCTGGGTGTCTGTGGGTCTCTATGGGTCTGGGTGTGTGTGGGTCTCTATGGGTCTGGGTGTGTGTGGGTCTCTATGGGTCTGGGTGTGTGTGGGTCTCTATGGGTCTGGGTGTCTGTGGGTCTCTATGGGTCTGGGTGTCTGTGGGTCTCTATGGGTCTGGGTGTCTGTGGGTCTCTATGGGTCTGGGTGTCTGTGGGTCTCTATGGGTCTGGGTGTCTGTGGGATTCTCTATGGATATGGGTCTCACTATGGGTCTGGGTGTCTGTGGATCTCTATGGGTCTGGGTGTCTGTGGGTCTCTATGGGTCTGGGTGTCTGTGGGTCTCTATGGGTCTGGGTGTGTGTGGGTCTCACTATGGGTCTGGGTGTCTGTGGGATTCTCTATGGATTTGGGTCTCACTATGGGTCTGGGTCTCTGTGGGTCTCTATGGGTCTGGGTGTCTGTGGGATTCTCTATGGCTCTGGGTGTCTGTGGGATTCTCTATGGATTTGGGTCTCACTATGGGTCTGGGTCTCTGTGGGTCTCTGTGCACGTCGAACTTCTTCAGCACCTCACGTAGCCAACGGCGCTAATCGGGGGTGCGATCACCCCGCCGCCCCGCCCCCCCCCCCCCCCCCCCGCCCTCCAGGCTACCTGCTGTCTCGTCGCGAGGGGCGGCCCGGCTCTCCGGAGAAGCCTCTCTCCGACCTGGGCCGCCTCGCCTACGCCTCCTACTGGCGGCAGGCCCTGACGGAGGCCCTCGACAGGGCCCTCCGCTCACCGCCGCTCGGCCCGGCCGCCCCCTCCCCGCCCGGGCCGCCGTGCCCGGGCGGGGAGGGGGCGGCCGCCGGGCCTCCGGGCCGTCGCCTTCCAGGCGAGGGTCGGGCTCGGGAGCGCGACGCTAGGCCTCGGCGCTCCGTCCGCCCGGGCCGAGGACTTTTTTCAGGCGGGGAGCGGGCTTCGAGGGGCGGCACTGGGCCTCGGGGTTGGGGCGTCCCGGGCGACGGGCAGGCCGCGGGGGCCGACGGCGCGGGTAGGCCTCCCCGCGCGTCAGGAGAGGCTCAGGCTGCGGCGGCCGCGGGCAGCAGGCCCGAGGTGTCGGTGGCGGCGCTGAGCCGGAGCACCGGCATGGCAACGGAGGACGTGGTGGCGACGCTGAGGAGTCTGGGAAGTCTGCGGGTTCGCAATGGCCGGTGGGTGGGTGGGTGAGTGTGTGGGTGGGTGGGTGGGTGAGTGGGTGGGTGGGTGAGTGGGTGGGTGGGTGGGTGAGTGGGTGGGTGAGTGGGTGGGTGGGTGGGTGCGTGGGTGAGTGGGTGAGTGGGTGGGTGGGTGGGTGCGTGGGTGGGTGAGTGAGTGGATGAGTGTGTGGGTGAGTGGGTGAGTGTGTGGATGAGTGAGTGGGTGTGTGGGTGGGTGAGTGAGTGAGTGAGTGGGTGGGTGAGTGAGTGGGTGAGTGAGTGGGTGAGTGAGTGAGTGGGTGAGTGAGTGAGTGGGTGGGTGAGTGGGTGTGTGGGTGAGTGAGTGGGTGGGTGGGTGGGTGAGTGAGTGGGTGTGTGTGGAGGTGGGTGGGCGTGTGGGTGGGTGGGTGAGTGAGTGAGTGAGTGCGTGGGTGAGTGGGTGGGTGGGTGAGTGGGTGGGTGAGTGGGTGGGTGGGTGTGTGAGTGTGTGTGTGAGTGTGGGTGAGTGTTTGGGTACGTGTGTGTGTGTGTGTGCGTGTCTGTAGTTAGCGTGTGCACTGTGTGTGAACCCGGCAGAGACCCGAGTTTCATTCCCACTCACAGCCAACATCAGTGGCAACAGAGGCAGCGGGCCGGGCGGGCGTGGTGGTGCTGGTGGCCACCCACCCACTCTGTGTGTGTAGCCACAGTGCCGGTAGCCTTCATAGACACTGCTGCTGCTGTTGCTGCTAACAGCACTTGCCCCTACAGCCGGCTAGAGGCTGCCTGGGGGAGCTGTGTCTTTGTGTGTGTATGCTAACTGCACTTGCCCTGACAGCCTGCTAGAGGCTGCCTGGGGGAGCTGTGTCTTTGTGTGTGTATGCTAACCGCACTTGCCCCTACCGCCTGCTAGAGGCTACCTGGGGGAGCTGTGTCTTTGTGTGTGTATGCTAACAGCACTTGCCCCTACAGCCGGCTTGAGGCTTCCCGGTGTACCTCTGTCTTTGTGTGGATGTTGGCTAACAGCACTTGCCCCTACAGCCGGCTAGAGGCTACCTGGGGGAGCTGTGTCTTTGTGTGTGTATGCTAACAGCACTTGCCCCGACAGCCTGCTAGAGGCTACCTGGGGGACCTTTGTTTTTGCCCAGAATCTGACCCCCGCCCCCTCCTTGCCCTCCCGCCCCCCCCACACAGCGTAGCCATCCTGCACCCCCATTGGAGGAGGGCCGCGGGTCACGTGACCCGCCCGTCGGCCAATCGCTGCGCTCGGATCCGCCTGGACGAGTCCCGGCTGCGTTGGGAGCCCCGGCCGTTGGTGGGGACCAATCGCAGCGTGTCGCCGGGGTCACGTGACCGGGGGGCGGGGGGCGAAGTGCATCATGGGAGCCCCTCGCCGCCTCCCCCCGTGCTGAGCCGGGAGGAGCCCCAGTGCATTGTGGGAGCCCGCCGCAAGGTGTTGTAGACAGCTCGCATGTGTGTGTGTGTGTGTGCACGTGTGTGTGCGTGTGTGTGTATGTGTGTGTGTGCACGTGTGTGTGCGTGTGTGTGTATGTGTGTGTGTGCACGTGTGTGTGTGTGCGTGTGTGCGTGCGTGTGTGTGCGTGTGTGTGTGCGTGTGTGTGCACGTGTGTGTGTGTGTGCACGCGTGTATGTGGTGTGTGTGTGTCTGTGTGGGGAGCGGTAGTGTAGTGGTCAGCGCACTGCGCTACGAACCTGGCGACCCAGGTTCGCTTCCCGCTCACGGCCAACATCAGTAACGATTATCTGAACCGGTCCTGGGCCTCCCCTAGGTCGACTCAGCCTTAAATGAGTACCCGGTGCGGTGTGTAAACATCGCCCACTGGGGAGACAAAGGCGGCCGGGCATGGTGCTGGCCACCCACCCCCTCGTGTGCCGTTCCGGCCTTCATAGGTGCTCGCTGACAGCACTTGCCCCTACAGTCTGTTAAGGCTACACGGGGGATCCTTTGTGTGTCTGTGTGTGTGGCAAAACAACCCCCTACCTCCTTGTGGTACCGGACGATAACGCTGTGGTGAGCGGTTCCATAGGGGGAGGGCCAATTTCGATTGGCCATTCCCCTCGTGACTGAATCTCTACCCTCGGGGTTCCTCCAGAAGCAGCAGAAAGCCACTTCGTGTGGCCACGTTGGAATGTTGGAACGCTCACTGCTGGAGGAGAGGCTGCCACTCCCCTTGTCGGGAGCTGTAACGGTACCGCCTGGATCTATGTGGCGTTCAGGAGGTCCGGTGGAGCAGCTCTGGCTCCTGTCAACATGAGGGGTGGACAGTCCTCTACTCGGGGCAGGAGACTGCCAAACAACAGGGTGTGGCTCTTCTTCTGAATAAAACAATGAAGGGGGCGTGGGAGCGTGGTGGTGAGGTGTGGGAAGCTGTAAGCCCCAGACTACTTTGGGATCGCCTTCCCATCAACCAGAGGCGAGGAGTGGTGGTCATGGTGACTTATATGCCCCCACCGAAGATGAATATCAGTGGAGGGATGCAGGCAAAGCCGATGAGTCAGATGCCTTCTATGACCTGTCACAGGTGCTAGCTAAAGTGGCCCCTCGGGATAGAGTCATCTTGTTGGGTGGCTTCAATGCCCGAGTTGGTCATGATGCTGGCACCTGGTCTGGAGTGATTGGAAGGCGTGGACCAGATCAGCTCAATAACAACGGTAGAGGAGGCTGCTAGATTTTTGTGCAGCCCATGGGCTTGTAATTACCAACACGCTGTTCCAGCATCGGCGCTTCCACACAACATCATGGATACATCCTGGGTTCAAACAAGAACATCTGCTGGACTACATAGTGATGGACCAGCGGATGCAAGCCCATGTCCTTGACACCAGGACCTACCGTGGAGCTGATCTGCCCACTGACCATCGACTTGTCATCTGTAAGATGGCACCTGCCATTCTTCCACTCTGGTGGTGGGTGTACACCCAGTACCCCATTCAAACCCATAGTGACCTGGTCTCAGCTAGCTGGGGCTGGCATCGTCCCCCACTCCTGATGTTGAGGGGAAATGGGCGAGGTTTAGGACTGTGGCTCATGCAGCTGCAATGGCTACCTTGGGTACACGGTCCACACGTCCCCAGAGACTTTGGCTGACAGAGGAGGTGTTCAGGCTGGCTGAGAAAAAGCGACAGGGCCACTCTCATCGGCTACAGCATCCCACAGAGAATGAGGAGGCTTACCGCAGCCTTCTCACGGAGGTTCGGAGAGCCGTGAAGCGCTGCAAGGATGGGTGGTGGTCGCGGGTTGCTGAGGAGATGGATTCTGCCTCAGTGGCCCGCGGTCAAGAATCACTCTTTAATTCCATAAAAAAAGTAACCTGCAGCGCCACACCTATTACCATCAGGGTAAAGAACGGTGAACCAATCTCCGACCCCCAGGAACAGGTTTGCAGATTTGCTGAGCATTTCTGTGAGGTCCTGGGGGAGGGGAAATCCCTCACCCTGGAAAACATCGTGGCACTAAGTGGGAATGACCCTGCTGAGGCTGCGGTGCCTCAAATATTGGAAGAAGTCACCCTTTGTGAGTGGCTGGCTGAGGTGCCATCTGTTGAGAAAGTACTAAAAGCGATCCAGAGTCTGAGACCAGGAAAGGCAGCGGGCAGAGATGATCTCCAAAGTGAAATACTGAGGGAGGGTGGCGTTTGTGCACAGACTGCCCTATATGACATCATAACAACAGTCTGGACCACTGGACGGGTTCCGCAGGATTGGAAGGATGCCCTGGTGGTCCTCCTCTTTAAGAAGGGGGACTGCACAGACTGTAAGGCAAGGATTATTCAACATCACCTTGCCAGGCACGCTGAGGAGAGGCTTGCGGAGCCACAATGCGGTTTCAGGAAAGGGCGGTCCTGCACAGATACCATATTTTCTGTCCGACTGCTACAGCAGAGGTGTAGGGAATCCCAACAAGACCTACACCTCTGCATTATTGACCTGGTCAAGGCCTATGATACCATCAGTAATTCCATGAGGTACAGATACAATGGGAGGCTGATCGATGCCCAGGTGCGGTCAAGGGATGGCTCCCTATTGCTCAACCACATTATGTATGCCGATGATTTGGTAATTTATGCTCACTCAGAGGAGGAGTTGGAGGCGCTGCTGCTGAACCTGGAGCGTGCTACTAAGAGATGGGGCCTTACCATCAGCCCCACCAAAACCTAAGCACCTGCCTGGGTATTTTGTACCATCAGACACTCCACCCCCACAACTCCCAATCGGTGATGGGGCAGTTGTGGAGAGAGTGGAGAGTTTCTCAAACCTGGGAAGTGTGCTTATGACCGGTTCCAGTTTAACAGCAGAGGTTTCACTCCGAATCAGTCGAGCGGCAATATCTTTTCATCGGTTGCGTAACGCTGTGTGGAAGCTACCTGGTCTGTCGCTCCGCACTAGCTTCAGGTCTTCTCAGCCACGGTCATTCCCTCCCTTCTCTACGCTTGTGAAACGTGGACCCCCCTAAAGGAACATCTTCACCGGTTAGAAACATTTAGGCTAGCCTGCCTACGATCAATCCTGGGTTTAACCGGCAGGCTGGATTGTTTGAGGAGCTCACAAATCCTCGAAAGATCTGCAACAAAGTTCCATCAGTGAGCTCCTCCAGCAGGCAAGGCTGCGTTGGCTGGGTCATGTAGCCCGCATGCCCAGCCACCGCATGCCGAAACAGCTTTTGTTCGGCAGGATTGAGGGGGCTAAACGGGCGTGGCACGGGCTAGAGAAGAGATGGAGTGATGTGGTACAGAAGGACGTGGAGCTGAGTGAACTTGCCGATGACTGGTACCAGCGGTGTCAAGATCGGCCTCTGTGGAGGAGGCTCGTGAAGGACGCTGCTACTGGGCAGTTGGAGGCAGTCGCCCTCCAGCAACAACGGAGGGCGGAGGAGCGACGCTCACAACAACGAGCGGAGCGCCGGGTGGCTAAAGCACAGCAGGTTGGCACAGTAGGGGGCACAGGTGGTGCATCAGCCAGTCATCTCAGTCGTCTCAGTCAGTCGACCCGTGGCACCTGCTGGGTCTGCCCCGTGACCTCCTCGAAAGATCTGGATACATTTCCATCGTTGAGCTCCTCCGGTAGGCAAGGCTGCGTTGGCTGAGTCATGTAGCCCGCATGCCCAGCCACCGCATGCCCGGCCACCGCATGCCCAGCCACCGCATGCCCAGCCACCGCATGCCCAGCCACCGCATGCCCAGCCACCGCATGCCCAGCCACCGCATGCCTAAAACAGCTTTTGTTCAGCCGTGAGCCTTGGACACATCGCGTAGTACCCGGCCTGGCACTAGTGACATCACCGCCACTCAGTGGCGAGTGGTGGCTGTTGGTGATTATAATCATCCAGCAGTGGATAGTCCACGGTGATGGTGATTACACTGAGAGCCAATTGAGAGGAGGTGGTGTCTAATTAACATCTCGTTTGCATACCACGCCCCTCCCTCCCCACACCCCTTAATCAGCGGGGGAGACCCAGGCGGAAGGGACTACTTTCATGGCCTCCTCATTCCCCGCCCTCCGACAGCGCCCCTCCGCCCCTGGAGGGGCCCCATCACCCGGCACATCCGTACACAGGTGAGGAGCTACTTTCACTCGCTCAGCCGGAACTACTTTCTTATCAGCCGGAACTACTTTATTATTAGCAGGAACTACTCTCATTTCCTCCCAGATGGAACTACTTTAATTTCTCGCCCAGCAGGGGACTACTTTCTCACACAGCAGGGAACGACTTTCTCACTCAGCAGGGAACTACTTTCTCACTCAGCAGGGAACTACTTTCTCACTCAGTCAGAACTACTTTCTCACTCAGCAGGGAACTACTTTCTTACTCAGTCAGAACTACTTTCTCACTCAGCAGGGAACTACTTTCTCACTCAGTCAGAACTACTTTCTCACTCAGCCAGAACTACTTTCTCACTCAGCAGGGAACTACTTTCTTACTCAGCAGGGAACTACTTTCTCACTCAGTCAGAACTACTTTCTCACTCAGTCAGAACTACTTTCTCACTCAGTCAGAACTACTTTCTCACTCAGCAGGGAACTACTTTCTCACTCAGCAGGGAACTACTTTCTCACTCAGCAGGGAACTACTTTCTCACTCAGCAGGGAACTACTTTCTCACTCAGTCAGAACTACTTTCTTACTCAGTCAGAACTACTTTCTTACTCAGTCAGAACTACTTTCTCACTCACTCAGAACTACTTTCTCACTCAGCCAGGAACTACTTTCTCACTCAGCAGGGAACTACTTTCTCACTCAGCAGGGAACTACTTTCTCACTCAGTCAGAACTACTTTCTTACTCAGTCAGAACTACTTTCTCACTCAGCAGGGAACTACTTTCTCACTCAGCAGGGAACTACTTTCTCACTCAGCAGGGAACTACTTTCTCACTCAGCAGGGAACTACTTTCTCACTCAGTCAGAACTACTTTCTCACTCAGTCAGAACTACTTTCTCACTCAGTCAGAACTACTTTCTCACCCAGCAGGGAACTACTTTCTCACACAGCAGGGAACTACTTTCTCACTCAGTCAGAACTACTTTCTCACTCAGTCAGAACTACTTTCTCACTCAGTCAGAACTACTTTCTCACCCAGCAGGGAACTACTTTCTCACACAGCAGGGAACTACTTTCTCACTCAGTCAGAACTACTTTCTCACTCAGCAGGGAACTACTTTCTCACTCAGTCAGAACTACTTTCTCACACAGCAGGGAACTACTTTCTCACTCAGTCAGAACTACTTTCTCACTCAGCAGGGAACTACTTTCTCACTCAGTCAGAACTACTTTCTCACTCAACAGGGAACTACTTTCTCACTCAGTCAGAACTACTTTCTCACTCAGTCGGAACTACTTTCTCACTCAGCCGGAACTACTTTCTCACTCAGTCAGAACTACTTTCTCACTCAGCAGGGAACTACTTTCTCACTCAACAGGGAACTACTTTCTCACTCAGTCAGAACTACTTTCTCACTCAGCAGGGAACTACTTTCTCACTCAGTCAGAACTACTTTCTCACTCAGTCAGAACTACTTTCTCACTCAGCAGGGAACTACTTTCTCACTCAGTCAGAACTACTTTCTCACTCAGCAGGGAACTACTTTCTCACTCAGCAGGGAACTACTTTCTCACTCAGCAGGGAACTACTTTCTCACTCAGCAGGGAACTACTTTCTCACTCAGTCAGAACTACTTTCTTACTCAGTCAGAACTACTTTCTCACTCAACAGGGAACTACTTTCTCACTCAGTCAAAACTACTTTCTCACTCAGCAGGGAACTACTTTCTCACTCAGCAGGGAACTACTTTCTCACTCAGCAGGGAACTACTTTCTCACTCAGTCAGAACTACTTTCTCACACAGCAGGGAACTACTTTCTCACTCAGTCAGAACTACTTTCTCACTCAGCAGGGAACTACTTTCTCACTCAGTCAGAACTACTTTCTCACTCAACAGGGAACTACTTTCTCACTCAGTCAGAACTACTTTCTCACTCAACAGGGAACTACTTTCTCACTCAGTCAGAACTACTTTCTCACTCAGCAGGGAACTACTTTCTCACTCAGTCAGAACTACTTTCTCACTCAGTCAGAACTACTTTCTCACTCAGCAGGGAACTACTTTCTCACTCAGTCAGAACTACTTTCTCACTCAGCAGGGAACTACTTTCTCACTCAGCAGGGAACTACTTTCTCACTCAGCAGGGAACTACTTTCTCACTCAGCAGGGAACTACTTTCTTACTCAGTCAGAACTACTTTCTCACTCAACAGGGAACTACTTTCTCACTCAGTCAGAACTACTTTCTCACTCAGCAGGGAACTACTTTCTCACTCAGCCAGAACTACTTTCTCACTCAGCAGGGAACTACTTTCTCACTCAGCAGGGAACTACTTTCTCACTCAGTCAGAACTACTTTCTCACTCAGTCAGAACTACTTTCTCACTCAGTCAGAACTACTTTCTCACTCAGTCAGAACTACTTTCTCACTCAGCAGGGAACTACTTTCTCACTCAACAGGGAACTACTTTCTCACTCAACAGGGAACTACTTTCTCACTCAGCCGGAACTACTTTCGCCCCGCGCTCTGTTGCAGACGCAACAGCTTTTCTCGCGGAAGTTGACGCCGGCGGAGGGGCGGATGGTGACGAGGAACGGAAGGATGAGGGTGGTTGTATCCCTCCGCCCGCGAAGAGGCTCAAGGAGGCGCGCAGGCAAAGGTCCCCCGTGTAGCCACCTCGCACCGGGGAGGCAAGTGTTGTTAGCGAGCACCTGCTACGTACTTACACGCGTGTATGTATTTATATATATAAAGGCAAAGGTCCCCCGTATAGCCTGTGACGAACTGTTGGGGCAAGGGGCTGTTAGTAGCAGCAGCTCTGAAGGTTTCCGGCACTGTGACACACACACAGAGAGATGGTGGATGACACACACACACACAGAGTGGATGACACACACACACACACAGATGGTGGATGACACACACACACAGAGTGGATGACACACACACACAGAGAGATGGTGGATGACACTGACACACACACACAGATGGTGGATGACACACACACACACACAGATGGTGGATGACACACACACACAGAGAGAGTGGATGACACTGTGACACACACACACAGAGAGATGGTGGATGACACTGTGACACACACACACACACAGAGAGTGGATGACACTGTGACACACACACAGAGTGGATGACACTGACACACACACACAGAGTGGATGACACTGTGACACACACACACACACAGAGTGGATGACACTGTGACACACACACAGAGAGATGGTGGATGACACTGTAACACACACACAGAGAGATGGTGGATGACACTGACACACACACACAGAGAGTGGATGACACTGTGACACACACACAGAGAGTGGATGACACTAACACACACACACACAGAGAGATGGTGGATGACACTGACACACACACAGAGAGTGGATGACACTGACAACAACAACAACCGCCATTCGCCACTAAGTGGCGGTGACGTCACCACGATGCTTGTGCCAGGCCACGTGCACCCTGAGGCCACGTGAAGTGTCGAACGCCCGCTGGCAGGAGGTCACGGGGCAGACCCAGGTGCCACGGGTCAACTGACTGAGATGACTGGCTGATGCACCACCTGTGCCCCCTACTGTGCCAACCTGCTGTGCTTTAGCCACCCGGCGCTCCGCTCGCTGTTGTGAGCGTCGCTCCTCCGCCCTCCGTTGTTGTTGGAGGGCAACTGCCTCCAACTGCCCAGTAGCATCCTTCACGAGCCTCCTCCACAGAGGCCGATCTTGACACCGCTGGTACCAGTCCTCGGCAAGTCCACTCAGCTCCACGTCCTCCTGTACCACATCACTCCATCTCTTCTCTAGCCCGTGCCGCGCCCGCTTAGCCCCCTCAATCCGGCCAAACAAAAGCTGTTTCGGCATGCGGTGGCTGGGCATGCGGGCTACATGACCCAGCCATCGCAGCCTTGCCTGCCGGAGGAGCTCACCGATGGGACCCTGCCCAGATCTTTCAAGGATTTGTGAGCTCCTCACACAATCCAGTCTGGTTAAACCCAGGATGGATCGTAGGCAGGCCAGCCTAAATGTTTCTAACCGGCGAAGATGTTCCATTAGGGGGGTCCACGTTTCGCAAGCGTAGAGAAGGGAGGGAATGACCGTGGCCGAGAAGACCTGAAGCTTAGTGCGGAGCGACAGACCAGGTAGCTTCCACACAGCGTTACGCAACCGATGAAAAGATATTGCCGCTCGACTGATTCGGAGTGAGACCTCTGCTGTTAAACTGGAGCCAGTCATAAGCACACTGCCCAGGTATGGGAAACTCTCCACTCTCTCCACAACTGCCCCATCACCGATTGGGAGTTGTGGGGGTGGAGTGTCCGATGGTACAAAATACCCAGGCAGGTGCTTAGTTTTGGTGGGGCTGATGGTAAGGCCCCACCTCTTAGTGGCACGCTCCAGTCTCAGCAGCAGCATCTCCAACTCCTCCTCTGACTGAGCAGCTATTACCAAATCATCAGCATACATAACGTGGTTGAGCAATAGGGAGCCATCCCTTGACCGCACCCGGGCATCGATTAGCCTCCCATTATATCTGTACCATATGGAGATTCCCCCGGTACAGCTATTGAAGGCTTCACGAACTACGTGGTCAAAATAGATGTTAAATAATGTGGGAGCCAGAGGACATCCCTGTCGCACCCCAAGGTGTACAGGGAATGGCTCTGACTCCCGGCCACGTAGTTTTACCCGGGCCCGCTCACCATCATGAAGGTCCTTAATGATCGTGAGCAGAGGGTCAGGTACTCCAAAAGCACGAAGAACGACCCAGAGCCCAGGCCTACTGATGGTATCATAGGCCTTGACCAGGTCAATAAAGCAGAGATGTAGGTCTTGTTGGAATTCCCTACACCTCTGCTGTAGCAGACGGACAGAAAATATGGCATCTGTGCAGGACCGCCCTTTCCTGAAACCGCATTGGGGCTCCGCAAGCCTCTCCTCAGCGTGCCTGGCAAGGCGATGCTGAATAATCCTTGCCAGGACCTTTCCCGGCACACTGAGGAGTGAGATGCCCCTGTAGTTGTTACAGTCTGTGCGGTCCCCCTTCTTAAAAAGGGGGACCACCAGGGCATCCTTCCAATCCTGCGGAACCCGTCCAGTGGTCCAGACTGTTGTTATGATGTCATATAGGGCAGTCTGTGCACAAACGCCACCCTCCCTCAGCATTTCGCTTGGGAGATCATCTCTGCCCGCTGCCTTTCCTGGTCTCAGACTCCGGATCGCCTTCAATACTTCCTCAGCAGATGGCACCTCAGCCAGCCACTCACAGGGGTGACTTCATCCAATATTTGAGGCACCGCAGCCTCAGCAGGGTCATCCTCACTTTGTGCCACGATGTTTTCCTGGCTGAGGGATTTTCCCTCCCCCAGGACCTCACAGAAATGCTCAGCAAATCTGCGAACCTGTTCCTGGGGGTCGGAAATTGGATCACCGTTTTTTCCCCTAATGATGGTAATAGGTGTGGCGCTGCAGGTTACTTTTTTGATGGAGTTAAATAGAGATTTGTGATCACGGGCCACTGAGGCAGACTCCATCTCCTCAGCAACCCGCGACCACCACCCATCCTTGCAGCGCCTCACGGCTCTCCGAACCTCTGAGCGAAGGCTGCGGTAAGCCTCCTCATTCTCTGACGTGGGATTCTGTAGCCGATGACAGTGGGCCTGTCACTTTTTCTCAACCATCCTGAACACCGCCTCTGTCATCCAGGGTGTCTGGGGAGGTCTGGACCGCGTACCCAGAGCAGCCATTGCAGCTGCATGAGTCACAGTCCTAAACCTCGCCCATTTACCCTCGACATCAGGAGGAGTCGGGGACGATGCCAATCCCAGCCGCAAGCGATGATGAAATTCTCGCTTGCAACTTTCATCAGATAACTGAGACCAGGCCACTTTAGGTTGGAATGGGGTCCTGGGTGTACACCCACCACCGGAGTGGAAGAATGGCAGGCGCATCTTACAGATGACTAGTCGATGGTCAGAGGGCAGATCAGCTCCACGGTAGGTCCTGGTGTCAAGGACATGGGCTCGCATTCGCTGGTCCGTCACTATGTAGTCCAGCAGATGTTCTTGCTTGGACCCGGCATGCATCCATGATGTTGTGTGGATGCGCCGATGCCGGAACAGCGTGTTGGTAATTACAAGCCCATGGGCTGCACAAAAATCTAGCAGCCTCCTACCGTTGTTATTGAGCTGATCTGGCCCATGCCCTCCAATCACTCCAGACCAGGTGCCAGTATCATGACCAACTCGGGCATTGAAGTCACCCAACATGATGACTCTATCCCGAGGGGCCACTTTAGCCAGCACCTGTGACAGGAGGTCATAGAAGGCATCTGACTCATCGGCTTTGCCTGCATCCCTCCACGGATGTTCATCTTCGGTGGGGGCATAAGTAACCACGACCACCATTCCTCGCCTCCGGTTGATGGGAAGGCGAGCCCAAAGTAGCCTGGGGCTTACAGCTTCCCACACCTCACCGCCACGCTCCCACGCCCCCTTCATTCTTTTGTTCAAAAGAAGACCCACACCCTGTTGTTTGGCAGTCTGCTGCCCCGAGTAGAGGACTGTCCACCCCTCATGGTGGCAGGAGCCAGAGCCGGTCCACCGGACCTCCTGAATGCCGCATAGATCCAGGCGGTACCGGTCCAGCTCCCGACAGAGGAGTGGCAGCCTCTCCTCTGCAGTGAGCGTTCGAACATTCCACGTGGCCACCCGTAGTGGCTTTTCGTTGTTTCTGGAGTAGCCCCGAGGGTAGGTATTCAATCTCCTGGCTCCGCCAATTGGGGTTTGGCCAGGAGACGTCATAGACGCCTGGCCCCCCGGGGCCTCCTGCACAAGCTTAGTTGTTACATATTTCAGTTTAATTCGTGGTTTCGTGGTAATTAATTGAAGGTGGAGGGGTTACCAGCCCCTCGCACCCGTCCAGAGCCCCCGTTTAGCCCCTGTGGTGGACACATATGCCATGAGGGGAGGAGCCAATCAAAATTGGATCTCCCCCCAAAGCGCTGGCCACGACAGAGTTGCCCGTCCGGCACCGCGAGGAGGTAGGGGGTTGTTTTGCCAGAGAGACACACACAGAGACACACACACACACAGAGAGTCAGACAGAGACACAGAGACACACACACACACACAGAGTGGATGACACTGTGACACACACACAGAGTGGATGACACTGTGACACACACACAGAGAGTGGATGACACTGACACACACACAGAGTGGATGACACTGACACACACACACAGAGTGGATGACACTGTGACACACACACACACAGAGAGTGGATGACACTGTGACACACACACACAGAGAGAGTGAGTGGATGACACTGACACACACACAGAGAGAGTGGATGACACTGTGACACACACACACACACAGAGAGTGGATGACACTGTGACACACACACAGAGAGTGTGGATGACACTGTGACACACACACACAGAGTGGATGACACTGTGACACACACACAGAGAGTGGATGACACTGTGACACACACACACACAGAGAGAGTGGATGACACTGACACACACACACAGAGTGGATGACACTGTGACACACACACACACAGAGTGGATGACACTGACACACACACACACAGAGTGGATGACACTGACACACACACAGAGAGTGGATGACACTGTGACACACACACAGAGAGAGTGGATGACACTGTGACACACACACACAGACACACACACACTGACACACACACACAGACACACATTGACACACACACACACA